ATGTGAAGTCAAATGGGCCTTAGGAAGTCTGAGCAACAACAAAGCTAGTGGAGGTGACAGTATTCCAGCTGAGCTATTCAAAATCCTAAAAGACGATGCAGTAAAAGTGCTACACTCAATATGCCAGCAAATGTGGAAACCTCAACAGTGGCCACAGGATTGGAAAAGGTCAGTTTGCATTCCAATTCCAAAGAAGGGCAATGCCAAAGAATGCTCAAACTACTGCACCATTGCATTCATTTTACACGCTAGCAAATTTATGCTCAAAATTCTACAAGCTAGGCTCCAGCAGTATGTGGACCAAGAACTACCAGAAGTACAGGCAGGATTTTGAAGAGGAAAAGAAACTAGAGATCAAATTGCCAACATACAGTGGATCATGGAGAAAGCTAGGGAGTTCCAGAAAAACATCTCCTTCATTGGCTATGCTAAAGCTTTTGATTGTGTGGATCACAACAAATTGTGGCAAGTTCTTAAAGAGATAGGAGTACCAAAACATCATTTTTGTCTCTTAAGAAACCTATATGCAGGTTAAGAAGCAACAGTGAGAACTGGATACGGAACCACTGATCGGTTCAAAATTGAGAAAGGAGTTCGGCAAGGCTGTATACTGTCACCCTGCCTATTTAACTTATATGCAGAGCACATCATGAGAAAGGTGGGATTAGATGAATCACAAGTTGGAATTAAGATTGCCATGAGAAATATCAGATATGCAGATGATATCACTCTAATGGCAGAAAGTGAAGAGATGCAGATGAAGGAGGAGAGTGCAAAAGTTAGCTTGAAACTCAACCTTAAGAAAACTAAGATTATGACATCCGGTCCTCTCACTTCCTGGCAAATAGATGCAGAATAAATGGAGGTAGTGACAGATTTTATTTTTCTGGGCTCCAAGATCACTGCAGACGGGGACTGCAGCCAAGAAATTAAAAGACGCTTGCTCCTGGGGAGGAAAGCTATGGCAAATCTAGACAGCTTACTAAAAAGCAGAGATATCACCCTGCCGACAAAAGTGTGTATAGTCAAGGCCATGGGTCCTGATCTGGCCTGCCATACCCATTTATCCAGTGCACCATGCCCGTTTGAACCCACTGTGCGCCCATCCACACCCACCTCGCCCCATGCACGGGAAGGCAGTGGTTTGCTCGCTCGGATAAAATCATCTCCAAGCGAGCAAGTCGCTGCCTCATGCGCCTACCTTGTGGCATGTGCTGGCCCTGCCTGCACCTCTCCTTGCCTTGCCTTGCCTTGCCTTGCCTTGCCTTGCCTTGCCTTGCCTTGCCATGCACCCTGCCCCCACTCAGAGCACACGCTCACACGCACTGCCTCCACTCCAGCCTTTGCACACCTCCGGCAATGCCTTTCCAGCCTGTGCCCAGCACCAGCAGCTTTCAACTGGCCCCCTGGTGGAAAAGTTTGAGGACCCCTGGTCAAGGCTATGGTTTTCCCAGTTGCATGTACGGTTTTGAAAGCTGGACCATAAGGATGGCTCAGCGCCGAAGAATTGAGGCCTTTGAATTGTGGTGCTGGAGGAGACTCCTGCAAGTCCCTTGGACCACAAGGCGATCAAACCAGTCAGTCCTAGAGGAGATCAACCCTGACTGCTCTTTAGAAGGCCAGATCCTGAAGACCAAACTCAAATACTTTGGCCACTGAACGAGAAGGAAGGACTCACTGGAGAAAAGCCTAGTGCTGGGGACAATTGATGGCAAAAGAAGAATGGGACAGCAGAGAATGAGGTGGCTAGATGGAGTCACTGAAGCAGTTGGTGTGAGCTTAAGTGGACTCCAGGGGATGGTGGAGGACAGAAAGACCCGGAGGAATGTTGTCCATGGGGTCGTGATGGGTCAGACATGGCTTCACGACTAACAACACTCTTGGTCTGGAACTCATTGACCAACACTCACCCAGTGCTACCTATATGTGGTGGTAAATTTTAATGTGTAGGTTCTTATCATGACAATTCCCATAGTTGCACTTTCAAGGCAATTCCAAAAATGCATGTAGCTGTGTTGATCCATATCAAAAAGCCAGGTTTAGCAGTTCCATCTCCACCAGGAGTATGTCTTTTTATAGAAAGAATGGATCTTTGAAAGCTAGCTGTCTTACATTGACCCAGAATAGTGGTCCATCTAGTCTGGTATGGTTGCTATGGACAGGCAGCATCTCTCCAGAATTTCAGCTAAGAGCTTTTGCTGACCTATTAGCACATACTGGAGATTGAACTCAAGCATGTCTTCTACCTCAGGATCCAAGGCATGTACTCTGCATGCCATGGCCTTTCTCAATGAATTGTCCATTCAAGACTAACTCATTCTAAAATACTTTGCTTTTCAACAAGGATGGAAGTCAATATTCTTCAAGTTGCTGTGAAGATCACAGCTACATTCAGAAGGAAAAGGAGAGTCTGATGGGGATGGCAGATGACACACATGTCCTTACTTGTCCAAATATCCTGCTGCTCCAGCCCTCTAAGTCTTGACCCCATTACATCTATGGTGCCACATCTTTTCCTTCTTTCAAATCATCCCTCAAGTATAAAGGCCTTGCTTAATCCTCACAGCCTTTGGTTTGACTTGTGACTGCTGTTGTCCAAGCACACGTATCTGAATTTCTTCATATTAACCCCTTTTATGCCATCAAGGCCTTTCCTCTTCCTTTCATTGGTGTGGGGCTGCTGCATTTGGGCAGCATGCACATTTATGAAACTCTCTTAATGAGCATGATTTTGAAGCTGAGAAGTGGCATGGCGATAAAGGCTATTCATGATCCCTCACAGTAATTTCAAGCTCTTCTACATAGTAACCACAACCATGCCACAGATACAGAGCTAACTTTCATGTGTAAATATAAGGAATAGCAAAGCAGGAAGAAGCATGAAGATAAGATCCATAAATGAATATGCAAACTTATTGTGATATGGCATCTACCATGTTTCTTGAATATTTAAAGAAAAAGCACTCCCCCCCCCGCAAAAAAAGCAGAACAAGCAGAGAACAGAGCTAACCCATTGCAGAAAATGGGTTAAGACGATGAGTGGAAAACGAATTAAACAGAAAGCAGTTCCTACATACTTATTAAAGCTTCTGGAGTAGCAAGGTAAGATCTACTTTTAATGGCATATTTCTAAAGGATTAGAGTCGCCTCTTTAAAAATGCAGTACTTTATCTTGCAGCAGCACACCTTTCAATAGGTCTTTTAAAGCCTTTAAAAATGCAGATGCAGGGTTATCGTGTTGCTTCCAGTCTTACCCAATTTGCCAAGCTATTGTTCCTTTCATTTAATAAAGATTGAAAGGCCTGCCTGACATCACTCATTAGCACTACTTCCCCCCCCCCCCCCTTTTAAAAGTCCTGAGCAGTGCCCTGCAGGAAAGAAGACTAATACAACGGAATGTGTCACACATTCTAGACACCAGGCTGAGAACTTTGTTCTCTCTCTCTCTCTCTCTCTCTCTCTCTCTCTCTCTCTCTCTCTCCCCCCCCCTCTCTCTTTCTCTCTCTCTCACACACACACTTGGTGAAACTGTTTTAATTGTGAATGTTCATATTGGGAATGGAATGCAAGACACATCCCCCATTTCAGTAGATGGATCAGTTTGGATCAAACATTGCCATTTGTTATCTAAAATATTCCTAGTCCTAATTATTGGACTCAGAAATTTTCATCAATTTTACAGAATGAGGTGAGACCTCTGAAAACTGGGATAACCTTCTGGGGGATTGGATGAATTTTAATATTTGTATTATTTTTGTTTGGGGAAGCAGGGGGAATCATGCCATTATTTAAGGTGAGACATTATAGGTTTCTCCTTTTATCACATAAGTAGTTCTCCTTGTGTAAACAAAGAAGAAGCTACTCCTTCAAGCAGTGATGGAGGGACCCTCAGCAGCCTGTTTCTGGATCTTTCCAATCTGGAAGAGAATTGGCCAATGGGATCAACACTGTGCCATGATAGACATTCTCTCCTAAGGACATGCTTGGAGAAAATGGCTGCCAACTCTTCTCCCTCCATTCACCGTGGCAAAGTTCCCACAGATGTACATAGGTGATTGGCTGATCCATATCACACATGACCAATACAACCCAAGAAGTTGAGGAAGCAGAACAGGGCCAAACAAATGAGTATCATGAGAGCTTTGCAAGAAATCGTATGAAATTGGATCCTTTGGAACTTTCCTTTTATCCCCATAGGGTCTCGATCACTCAGGCATATTCAGCAGTTTGTGACTGCGACATCAAATGCTGGTTTGTCTGTGTGAATAAGCCATCACAGATCTAACATTATGCAGTACATTTCAATGTGGAATAAGCAACAAATTCAGCTTCAATAAATCTAAAAAACTGTGATAAAATATATAGCAATCCATTTATTGATTGAAAAAGTCCTGTATCAACAAGCATAGGCGATCATAGTAACATACTGTATCTAAAAAGTATTCCTAATAAATGATGAATTTGCTGGGATATTTAAGGAAGCTGTACCGGGAGTTCCTGTAGGTTTAAAAATTACACTTATTTGTCTTTTCTAGAAGCAGGATCCTGTATCCTTTGATGAAAATTTTAAAAACTTATCCAGGAAAGTGCTCAATACTAGATACACTTTGCTACCCTATCTGTACACACTGATGTATGAGGCCCATGCACATGGTAGTACTGTTGTGCGTCCTTTACTCCATGAGTAAGTATTAAGTAAGGTTAATTTGTCACAGATACTAATTAGATAGTGCTCTTGTAGCTCAAAGTAGTTCTGTTTGTTATTGTGTTACTCTTTAAAACGTGAAAACAAGTCTAAACACACTAAGACTAATTTTACACAGGGGGTATTGGACATTTCCCAGCCTGAGATGCAAATTCCATTCAAAAAAAGCTCTTGGGGCCATTCTGCAGTGGTGGGTGATGTCGCTCCTTTTTCCTTCCCAGCAGATCACAGCAAGCTAGATTTTCATTGACTTAGATGGCCTCTGTAATGCAGAGTGAGGAATATGAAAGTTGCGAGCAAGACATTTCTTTAAGTTCATGATTATTTTAATAATTTGAGCTAGTTCTTGACCTTGCCAGCCATTAAGACCAAAATGAATTACCTTCCTTCCCAATGAGCTGGTTCTCCCTTCAGGGAGATTCTTGCTGCTTGTGGGCAAAACAGTGAGGAAGGTTTTGGTTCACTCATTTGACTTGCCAGTGAACCACCGGGATGATGAACTCAAATCATTTCCCATCTGCCTGTTCCTGTTCTGCAGTGCCTTCCCTAAACCAGATACTTTCCTGTTCTCACCAACCACTTGACTAACATCATGGCTCATTAAGCTTGGGGAGAGAGCTGCTATCCCACCAAGGGTGAACACCACACACCCAGAGACTTTAAAAGCAAGGCTGGGGCTGCAGTGGGAGACACTGCTTTGGGGGAGAGAGAGCCAAGCTTGCTTGAGTGGCTCAGCTTTTTTAAAATTGCTATTTTACCTTTCATACTGAAATGCTATTCTGTTTTATTATGTCATCTTTCATGTATTTTCTTATATTCTATAAATTGTAGTTAACCATCCAGAAACCTTCAACTAAGGCACAGTATAGAAATGAAATTAAACGAAACAAAATGTCCAGGGTTGGCTCCAGCAGGGGACTCACTGATCAGATCAGACAATGCTGCTGATGAAGAGAAGAACCCATAGAAGCCCCTGGCTGGTTGCTCACTGTTGCTTTAATTGGCAAGCAGAAGATAGCAATGGGCAAGGAAAGCAGGAAGGGCTGACATGTCTGTTGTCAATAGTGGTGAAAAAGTAGACTCACTAGTGGTCATATGGGTATCTCTCACAAGCCTCTTGTCCCCACAAAGCTTGTATCTGGCACTGAGTTCAGGTTCTTACAATTTGTTACTCACACATCTATCTATCATATAGATACCCAAATACATGAAGATATTTTAGTGGATCTTTTCCTATAAAAAACTGCCACCCCATCTGCCAGCTGTAGGTTAGAACTATAGTTCTGGGTAAAGCCCATTTATTCTACATTTATTCAACTATCTCAATGCTTCCCAGGCCAAAATTGCATTTTTCAATATTTGTATTTCTGGCTCATTTTATTTGATTTTAAACAAGGAAGAGTTCTCCACCAATAAATTCAGTTATATTATCATACAAGATAATAATTTATTATGTCACTTTCAGATTTACCAATGATAAAACCACATGGGGAATCTATAAACAGTTTCTCTGGGGTCCTGCTTTGCTCATTAGCCCTGCACTGGAAGAAGTAAGTACAGAAATAAACTATGATCATTTCTTTATATGAACTCCATGATGTCCATGGAGCTGTCTCAGTTTGTTATCGGCCTAATGCATGCAGTTGGGTATATCCTCCTGGAACCTGGATCTCTTGCACTCATAAGTTGGTCCTATAGTTGGTCCTCCTATAGTTGGTCCTGGAATACTGCAGATACTCCGGAACACTAGCAGGCCCCTCCTTTGTGCTAACCGATTCTTCCACTAAGCACACAAAGCCCACAAGTCATGCATGCAAAAGCAGAGTTCTACTTCTGCAGTGCATGTGCAGGCAGCAGTGTGTGAAAGCTGGCTGTGCTGGATATGCCTGTGCAGCAGGAGAACCCACTTCCTGCTGGATGCCCATGCGAATGCCCGGTGACGATAAGGTTTAGGGCAGAGAGAAAGCAGGTCAGAGCCTGAGAAGCTTGGTCAAGAAAATCCAGATTTCCACCCACAAACTGGATTCCTCAAATATCACTAGTCTTTGCTCAGGGTTGTGCAACTAATAATTTCAAAACTGCAGAGCGTATGAGTTTGGTTTGCAAGACCAGGCTGAGCATAAGAAGGAGCCCACAAATGCTTAGAGGGATGGATTCCAATAGCATCTGTTCCACTCCTACAAATAACTCCATTGTCATTTTTCTAACATTAACATATGCATTCCATTTCAGAATGTTACAGTAGTAGAAGCTTATTTTCCTGATGCCTCCTGGTATGATTATTACATAGTGAGTAAAATCTCTATCCCATTTGTTCCTTTTTACCAAGAATGGCCATAATGTTTGTGGAAATTGACTGCAAAGCATGTAAGGGGATATAATTAAATCACTTTAGTAATTGTTTAGGCAAGCAAGATTCTATCCAGTCTTGGTTTTGCCCTAACTATATTCCACCTCACCTAGTAAAGTCCTCTGGGGATAATCTTTTGAAGTTTGCTTCTGTAAGATAAATGTCAGCTATCCAGAGGACCTTCCTGAGGGTTGCCCCTAAGTGATGGAATGGAATAGTCTGTTGGGTGAGTCGCTTCATTTCGCTACCTTCAAGAGGGAGTTAAAGACATATCTTTTCCAACAGGCCTTCCCAAGTTAGTTTTATTTAATATGCTTGTTTTTAGCTGAAATTTAAATTATTGTTGGCTTTCATTTCTTGCAAACTGCCCAGAGCCTGTAGGGATGGGGCAGTATATAAATATCAAAATAAACACATTGAAAATATATAAATAAACAAGTAGTTTTGCTCATGCAAATTGGGGAGCTCAGTTTTTGCTGATGCCTCTGCCTGTGACAGTCCTCTGTGTCATATCCTATTACATTCAAATGGCCACCAACTCTTGGGAGCAACTTTTCAGAGGGAGTGCCAGCCCCTGCCAGACACAAGGATGTTGTTACTCAGGGTGACAGCAGCCCCATCTACTATGAAGAGTACTATAAGAGTTGTAAATTGACCAAGTATGTTTAGACAGAAAAAATGCTTACAACTCTCAGGATGTCTGAGACAATACAGCTGGCTGAGGCATGCTATGTGTTGTAGGTCTTTTTTCTGTCTGAACATGCACAGGACTTTGCCTGAATTAGCAAATCCCAATATACTTGAACGAGCACATTGTTGAAAAGTTGGTATTTAAAGGACTGACCTACTTAAATCAGTATGTATCAAGAAAAAAGAGGGCCCATTTCTGTCATTAAGTCACACTGAAATCATTTGGTCATGTTAGTCATGGCTAACACTAAGTTCTATTAATTTTCATGAGGTTTAAATATGACTGACTTTCACTGCATTTAGGCCCAAGAGTAATTTTTCTGTGGTAAGGAAAATGGCACTGAGGGAAAGCAGCTGAGAGGAAAATCAAATTATTTTTTAGCTTAATTGCATTGACTGAGTTTGCTGAAATCAGCTGAGGAGACCTTTTAATAGTTTTCCTTTAATTAGCTATGGAGAAAACAGATTTTTATGTTTGGAAATAAAACTAAAAATACTTGTTTTTCATTACAAGAATGAAAAAATGAAAGTGAGGGGAGAATTCAGTAACTTGTCTACGCCTCTTGATCACATCAACCTTCATCTCAGAGGTGGCTACATCATCCCTTGGCAACTACCAGCTGCAAACACCAAGGCCAGGTATGACTGTGTGTTATTCTGATATGTGCTGGACTCTCCACATACTTTTTATGCTGTTAGTGTAGAACAAATAAGAGAAAAATCACACAATCATAAACATACTTGTTCATAGATATGTCTCATTGAGTTCAATTGATATGTATGTCCCATTGAGTTCAATTTCCCAGCTGATCCTCAGATACACAGAATAATTCTGGCCAACCAGGGCCATCCACCTCTCCACTCTTCATTATTGTTCATGTTCCTCCACCTTCTCAAAGGTCGAAATGACACTCCTAGGCTTAATTACTGGCTGTAAGAGCTTTAAGCTATAGTAGACTGGTCGTTTTGGTATTTAGGTCCTACCCCTTTTGCTTTTGACCCCACCCTTTTGCCTGTGGCCATGCACACCACTGGGACACAATCCCCAAAAGCATATAAAAAAAATTAAATCCAACCTTTCGTTTGAAAGAGAATTAGTCTCCCTGATGTACAGGGTTGCAGCCTGATTGTTGTTATGTGCCATCAAGTCATCTCCAACTCAAGGCAGATCTATGAATGAAAGTTCTTCACAATGACCTATTTATGACAGTCCTGCTCAGCTCTTGTAAACACAGGTCATGGCTTCCTTTATGGAGTCAATCCATTTCATATTTGGTCTTCTCTTCCCATGATTTGCCTGAAGTATGAAAGCCTCAGTTTAGTCATTTTTGCTTCCAGAGAAGTTCAGCTTGATTTGATCTAGGGCCACTTGTTTGTCTTCCCGTCATTCCAGGGTATTCACAAATGTCTCCAGCATCATGTTTCAAATGCATCCATTTTTGTCCTATCAGCTTTCTTCACTGTTGCAACCTCATGCAGAAGTAAATAATTGTGATCTTGCCCAGTTTAAATTCTAAGTATCATTTAATATTCTTGTTTCCCTAGCCGAAAAAACCTAATGGGCCTCACAGTTGCTTTGGATGATAAGGGGACTGCTCAAGGCCTTCTTTACTGGGATGATGGAACCACAATTGGTAAGTGTAATAGGCTTAAAATTAACTTACCTTCCAGTACTGTTGTGCACATTACTATGATAACATACCCAAACATTTTGCATTTATTTAAATCATGTATACGCTGTTCTTCTGTCAGAAAGATTCCCAACTGGCTTACAAATCAATAAAAACAAGACATTTCCTCCCTTCAAACTTACAATCCAAAAAGACATGTCTGTAATGCTTAGTGTCAGATGGTTCTTATAAAAAGCAGCTCTACTACTGTAACAGCTTCTGCTTGCTTAACAAACCATTGTTTGTTGTTTCTCCCATTTAGCAGTGGAAACTGGATGCTTGTCCTCTTAACAGTGATTATATATTGGAAGCCACTACTTTTCCCTTTACTTGCTAGAAATCTAACACATGTTCACTAAATTATTCTGTTGCTTCTTTCTTCTTGCAGATGCATATGAAAATGGTCTTTACCTCTTGCATACTTTTAATGCCAGTCAGGTAGGTCAAATTTCCAATCTTGCATGCTCTGAGATGTTCAGCCCTGTTCTAAACATTAGCCTTTCAGTACGTTCGGTACATCTTGATTGTTGTTAACATTTACACATGCTTACAGAAAGAGAAACTTTGGACATTTTTGAAACTGCTTTCACCAAATCAGCTACCTTAGTCTAATGGTTCTTCAGTCCTTACTATCCTGGTCTCTTTTATCCCTCACCCTGCATACTGACTCCATATTTTAAGCTTTCCCTTTCAAAGAGTAGCAATTTTGGTTTTCCCCATTGTGTACCTTTCTTTAGTTAAAGACTTCTGTCCCATTGTTTCACTGAGTGAATCTTGGGTGATTTACAAAAGATTAGGACAACATAAGGATAAAATACAAAGAAGCTGTGCATGTCATAGTTCTGAATAGCTGGAATATTGTCTCTTTCCTTGGTGGATTAGCAACACTTCAACTGAACTAGGCTGTGTCCAAAGGACTAGTCAAATTGTTTTTCTTTTGCATATACATGGCAAAGAATTCCTTGATCACAATCATCACTGCTCTTTGGTCTGACTCTGGATATACAGTTGTTCTATACAATAGAGCCACTAATGTTAAATTACAAGCAATAGGTGTTGGCATTGGCAAGATTGTCCATATTTATCTAGCTAATGAATATTATTCTGCTCTTTCCATTAATCAGCAGCAGGAAAATCAGCACTGTTAGTAAGGCCAAAAAAAAAAAAAAAAAAAAAGAAGATAAATTTAGCTGTTTCAGGGCTTTGTTTTATTTTTTGAGAGTGCTAAAATATTGAAGCTTTGTAATGTGTTTCCTCTCACAATTGCTTCATATTTAATTTGCTATCTCCATCAAGTCATTAAACATTAATGACAAGGAAGAGAAATATATTTGACTGTTATAATTTAGTCATAATAATTATAATTTGTGTACTCCCCCCTCTTCCCCTCAATACTGACTGGACAGGACCTCATTCATTTTTCAAGCTTGGGTTTTTCCTAAAAGTCCTCTGAAGTGTTGAAAAGAACTGGCATATTTCAAATCCTTTTTATCAGTCCTCCATTGTCCAAGGTCTTCCTTGTAACTCGTTTCCTTCCTCATGTCATTCCAAGCTCCCATTTCCACACCAATATCCCCTTGCTAAAACTTTTCTTCTAACATTAGCAAGCAATAAGGAAATGTGCACAGGAGATGGTCTAGGTGCTTCAAAAGACCTTCAAGGTTAGTGTACATTCAACGTAAAGCCCTTTACATTATGACAAAACTTTCAGCTCCTTGTTATTGTTTCTGGAAGATATATTTTGGACGAGGAGAAAGTAGCAGAATCAGAATGGTTTCAGCTAATGTACAAGCTTACTCAACATTCAAAGGACTTTTGGGTCCTTAGGTATAAATAAGGTAATCATTTTCAAAGTATTGATGGGTGGCAGATTGTTTCTGATTTCAGAATTTGGCAACAATGTCTGCAAATTTCAAGAACAATGACATTTATAGATTAAAGGTCAAAGTAAAAATCAGTGAATACATAAGCTCCCTTGCTAGTTATTTTTGAGTAAATTCTATATGCGAGTACCGTATTTTTCGCTCTATAAGACGCACTATTTCCCCCCTCAAAAGGGGAAATGTTTGTGCGTCTTATAGAGCGAATGTGTGTGCCCGACACCTGGGATGCTGCCGGCCCACCTGCACCACGTGGCACCACCTGGCCGGCATGCGCTCAGCGCGCGCTGCTCCGCAACCCCCCCCCCCGGCACAGGTGAGAGCTGTGCCGCTCAGGGAGAGCAGTGTGGAGGAGGAGGAGCTGCGGGCTTTAACCCGCCGGCCGCACGGAGAGACAGACTGCTGACCCCCACCACCTGGGAATACCTGCCGCCACCGCCACTGCGCCACCCGGAAGACCACCGCCAGCACGCTGCCGGCCCGGCTGTACCACACCTGGCTGACATGCGCTCAGCGCGCCCTGCTCCGCCCCCTCCTCTGGGGCAGGTGAGAGCTGTTAATCACGGGTCGGTGTGTGTTTTCAAATGGCAACCCGTCTTTTAATGAAGCTGGGGAAGTGATGGGGAATGTGCCTGCGATTATCAGGAAGCTTTCCATGGATCCCTCCTCTAAAAACTAGGTACGTCTTATGGTCAGGTGTGTCTTATAGAGCAAAAAATACGGTAATTGCAATGCTCCTTTACTTTGTTGCTCAAAACCAGAGTTCATTGTATTAATTAATAAGCTAGAATGGGAAGGGATACATATTAGCAAGCTACCCAAGAATCAGTTGGTGATCTGGGAGCATTAGCTCAGTACCATGTGCAAAAGCAAATAGTGTACATTGCTGTACAGAAGAGCTACGAAGATGGAATAGGAATAGCTATTCTGTGTGCCTTTGCATTAAGTGCAACATAGAATAGCGTTGGGTTGGAAACTAGGATATAATAATAATAATTCAAAAGATCATTCCTGGTAGAAAATTGCACATCACAGATCCTTAATATGCAAAGTCACTTTTTAACAACAGATAAGTCTTTTGAGAAATAAGAGGGGCTTTGCTTTCCCTAATAATGGTAGATCTAGTAGGAACAAAATTGATCTTGAAGATCTGATGGGAAGATTTGGGTTAAAATTATGTGACATAAAGGGTTGTTGTTCTTCTGTGCTGTTGCTGCTTCTGTAAAGTGTGAATAATTAAAATTTTCATCACAGAGGAAGAGTATTATCTCTCCAGTGTAGTAGCAGTACTAGCCATAACTTGAACTGTAAACTATGTTAATTTAAATATTTGAAAGTTTACAGAAACGTACTGCATCAGATAATTGATGTCAGGAGCAAAACTCGTGGGCTAGTGATAAGGTGGAGTGAACATGTGTGTAGGGAGTCATATAGTAATTAGTAAAATCAAAGCAATTTTTCAATTGAATGATTTCTGCAAATACTTCCTAATACAATCGTTGTCCTGTCCTACCATTTCTGGCAGCCTGTGCACAAACGCTAATGACGTAATGTATTGAACCTTTTGCATGTAAATAGATTTGTAGCAATGTGTGTGATGAAGTACTTAGCCAAGACTAAAAATATTGTATTGGTAGTGTCCTCCAACTTGATTCTATTTGCCTAGCAATAGATGACATGGTAAAAGGACACTGAAGTCAATCAGAGGTTGTGGCAAACAGCTTTTAAATCATCATCAACAAAAACAAGATAATGTTAAAAACCAACAAAAACTGTTTTTCAGAATGTCTTGGACATCAATATCGCCCATCAGGGATACTTTGACCCAAACAACTTAAAGTTTGAAGAAATTAAAATCCTAGGAGTTGCAGCCAATGTCTCTCCTGTTGTCGCAGTGTTTCAATATGGTACAGCAATTCCATCCAAGCATATTGTGAGCTATAATTCCTCAACACAGGTAAGCAACGATAATGTTGCAAGTGTGAACCACTGAAAGGCATATGTTGAAAACTTCAGGATGAGACCAAAGTCCTGTCTAGTTCAGCTTCCTGTTGCTCACACTGGCCAGTTGGAAGCCCATAGGAAGCCCACAAGCAGGATGGAGGGGAAAAGTCCCTTCCTACCATTCAGAAACTGGTATTCAGGAGCATGCTGGCTCAGCTCTTAGAGCTTCATGTAGCTCCCATGACTATGAGTCATTGAGAGTGATCTAATCCCTGATTGTCTAATCCCCATTTGAAGCTACCCAAACTGGTAGACATCATCACAGCTGCTGACTGCAGATCCCATAGTTTAAGAAGAAGCATCTCCTTTTGTCTTGGAGAAGTGTTTCTTTTTCTTTTCTTTTTTCATCCTGCCTGTCCCACCATTTTGCTTCACTGATAGACCTGAAGTTGTAGTATTATGACAGAAGAAAAACCTTTACTGATTCTTGATTCTGGGTTAAGCATACTTCTACTTTGAGTCCCATTCTCATTTAAGATAGTTCTGGAAAATACTGGAACTTTCTTCCTGTGCTCCAATGTAGCCAATACTTGGAATAGGGATAGGTGTTTGGGGGCAAGGAACAGGGAAGAAAGCAGAAGTACTCTTTAATTCTTACTGGAAAAAAATCAGGTCAGGTCAAATATTATTCCTCATGAGGCTATATCAGTTAGATCCTTCAGGGACTGAAGCAGCCTCAGTGTGGTCCACTTTGGAAAACAAGTCACAGAGTGGAATTCACTGCAGGTATCTCTAAGGTGAGCACCAGGGCAGGTCAGCAGACATTCTGCCTGCTCTGTCAGTCTGCCTCCCTGTAGTATCTTCTTCCTAATGCACCATTTACTTCTATTCCAACATCCACCCCCCTGCCGCCAATTTATGTTCATAACTATGTTAGGGATCTCCATCTTTGAGTGGGAGGGGCACAGTTACGATTGCGAAAGAGTGTCATGGGTATCCTTACAACACCGTTGAGGAGTTGTCTGTTCAACAGCAGATGCCCCAGAAGGCAGAGCGAGTGACAAAATAACCCTTTTCCAAGAAAGAGAGCTGGTGAGATGAAAGGAAAAGTAATTTGGCCATGAAACTGAACTGTGAGGCCAAGGTAGACTCTGAGTTCCAAAACACAAAGCCACACTATTGAAATACAGCATTCTGTTCCAGAACCCATTCCATAGAAGACAGTATGTCGAGAAAACCTTAGCGAGAAATTCTATACAAAGCAGAGGTCTGAGGCTCAAATGCCAGATCATATATTTGCTCACATAAGCATACTAAAATACCTGTTCGACAAAAGGCAATTTGATGATGCTCAGAAAAACACATGCATACACAGGGGGAAAGCCCCCCCCCACACACACACACATCAAAACATACTCACAATCATATATGAAACCAAGGTTTAATCACGTTAGCCAAAGTAGCACACAGACATGGCCAAGACAAAGCAACCTACATCCCTTTAACTGCCACCCCCCCCCCAGACACCGCCCCCCCCCCCCCGCTAACATTTTGGATTTGATGAATGGCTATGCATGCTGCATGACATTTTCCCTTCATTTTTATTTTCTAAGATTGCCTTTCAGGGAAAATAAAGATGGCACTTGTAAACTGGTTCTTCATTGTGTAGCATGGCAGCCTCCGGTTAAAAGAAAACAAAGCCAAGCAAAACTCTGAAAATATCCTTTAAAAACAATGATCATAGGGGTAGAGAGCCAGGCAGGGTTGAAGAGAAATGTAAGTTGGCACATTGGTGCATATGGGCAATACAATGGAAACTTCATGGGTGTGTGTGTACATTCTCATCCTGTAAGAAGCCAGTCCTATTTAAAAATCAAAGCAAATGAAATATATCTTATTTCATTTTATTCCACCTCTCTCTCTTCCCGCCTGTCTTTCCTTCTCTTTTAAATATGAGGATACTCTTTAATGTTCATAGGAATGTGAATAGGAGTTTGCAATTTGTCTCTTGTTTTATTTCCAAAGGTCTTGCACATTACAGGCCTTCAGCTTGCTCTGGGACAAGCATATTCATTGCAGTGGAAACAGAAGCTTCTTCAAGACACAGAAAAATTTAACTGCCACCCATACCCCAATCCGACCCAAAGCATGTGTGAAGCCCGTGGCTGCACCTGGGAGGTAAGTTAGGGTATTGGGAATCATTTCTTTTGACAATAGGTAGGCATAACTTCTTAAGCAAGTTCACTAATCCTTTAAATTGAAGGCAAAGTATCTCTCCTTCACCCACCACTAAAAACAGCTCTTCCCATTTGAGAATCTATTCTGAAATGTTTTCATTTGTTATGGTATATATCAGTACTGATTTGCTGTTACGAGAAATTAAATTTTAATCCTCTTGTTGCTAATAAGATTTCTTTTCTAAATAGTGATAACTGTTTTAAATCCTTCGTATTATTTTAGAATGTTGGTTTCATGAGTTGGTTTAGTATTTGATTTATTACAAGTTGCCTGAAATTTTTAAAAAGAATATTCAGCACAAATGCACATACTCACATATAAGTGGCCCTCCCCCTTCTTGCCCTTAGGCATCAAAACATCAGTGTTTTTACAATGCAGAACTTTATTAGCACTTCACAGCTGCAAGACAAAGCAACTCAAAAAGTTTGGCAGCTTCGCCTCTGCTCATGCCAAGAAAAGTTGAACACAAACTGGGGAAGGACAAGATCCTTCCCTTTCAGCAACTCAGTGGGCTCCACCTTCAGCCTGGGTGTCACTGGTGAAGGGTCAGCTGGTGAGACCTATATAAGCCCTCTAACTGGGCAGGTCCTCTTTCCCAATGCCTCACCATCGCATCAAGGAGCATCCACTTCTTTGACACCTCCCATTCCTTCCAAAACATTCCTGTTCTCCTGGTCAGTGTAGAAATCTGTGGGCAGTGGTTTCGAGGGCACATCAAAGGGCTTCTCTTCATAGGTTCTTAGAACCCCCATCTCCACTTCTTCAAGGTTTCCTCCTCCTCTTCCTTCTCAGGAGTCCAGTCATGATGACCCTGGTGTGGGTGTGTATGAGAAAGATGATGTGATCCAGTGTGCATGTGCAGAAGAAGGTGCAGATCCTCTTTCAATCCAAGGGTAGAATTCCATTTCAGAGAACCTCCTGGCGGCCATATTCCAGTGCTGAGAATGGCCTGTGCAGGAGATCCAGATACCAAAAATATACTCGCCTATTTGTTCTTACATCTCTTAATTTCTAGCAATATAGTCTTGGGTGGTATGGGGGTGTCATTTCAACTTTTTAGGTTGCAGGGGAAAAACGGCAGAAAAGCTGGGAACCAATCACAGTTCCAGTGGTAATGGAAAGGAAGGGCTGGGTCAGGAAAAGGCCTGGGCCAGCTTGGAACTTCCTAAGGCTTGCATTTTCCAGAGAGGACTAAGATTCTGCAACCTATAGAGCCAGTGGCGTAGTGGTTAAGAGCGTGGGACTGGGACTCAGACAACCTGGGTTCTAGTCCCCGCTCAGCCATGGAGCCAACTGGGTGACTTTGGGCCTGTCACAGACTCTCAGCCCAACCTACCTCACAGGGTTGTTGTTGTGGGGATAAGATGGAGGAGGAGAATGATGTAAGCTGCCTTGAGCCCTTTGTAGGAAAAAGGCAGGATATAGATCAAACAAACAAACAAACAAACAAACCTTGTATATGCAATGAAGAGCTGTTGTGGCTAGACTGAAATAGTTCTTCAGTTGCTTTCCTAAGCCTCATACCTACTTTCCTGGAATCTCACACTCATTCCCTGTAAGAACAGGGATAATCACTGCTCACTAATCATGCTTTGTCCCCAGATAAACACAGGATAGAACTTGCTTGGTTTGTTCATTAGCACTCTCCACTCAGGAATAATCCTATCAATGCTGTTGTAAATTGCCCAGACAGCTTTAGTTATTAGGTAGTATAGAAATTAGAATGGTGGTGGTGGTGATGATGATGGGTGCACTATTGAGGAAACAACTACGGAACTGCAGCCTCAGGATTGTGGTCCTACACTTGCTTACCTGAATATAAGCCCTGTCAAACTGAGTGAAGCTTATGTATGATGCTATGCAAACAGATCGCTTTGTATGATGTTATTTATCTTTGTCATTTAGTATTAACTAAAGATGTCAAGATGTCATTTTATTTCAGGTTTCTTCTACTCCTGGTGTGCCACACTGCTTTTATCCCAGAGACTACGGCTACTCTGTCATTAATATCCGAAACATTGCCAGGGGGTTGTCAGCTGACCTCTACAGCATCAAACGCTTCCCCAGCCCATATGGCTCTAGGTCACCAGCAGTGAACCAGCTTCGCGTGGAAGTGAGGTTCCATCACAATGACATGCTGCAGTTCAAGGTAAACTGCTCGTATGTTCTGAGATACACTTATTTATTTTTATGTGTTTATTTCAGAAAGTCATCAAATGTTACAGCCCACAAGCGGAAGGGCCTAAAAAGTCTTTCTTGTTGGCCTGTCCCACATAATGTGTGTTAGGAGTATAATATCTTGATGGTGGGTTTCCAAAGTTGTATGTCAATACTGACAGAAACAAATATAATACAGTTGATCTGACATAAGAATGTGGGAGATATATGTGAAAAGTAGCTTTTAAAAGTTCATCACCCTCAAGTAAAGTGCTGTAGCAATTGAGGGTCTTATGTGAACTGCTGCAATTATAGCTGAATTGCCCTTCTGCATTAGCCCTTAAAAGCAGGAAAATTCATAATCCCAAGACAATCCCAAGAGGTTGTACTGTACATTTTACATGCACTGAAAACACTGTCTTTTACATAGATCTATGATCCCAACCAGAAAAGATATGAAGTTCCCATTCCACTCTCCACCCCAAGCAGCTCTCAAGCTACAGAAGCTAATCGGCTCTATGAAGTAGATATTTTGAACAATCCATTTGGTATACGAATTCAGCGCAGAAGCACAGGAACTATTATGTAAGTAACGTTCATGTTTAGGGGAAAAAGGAACAATATTCTTAAACATACATCCCAACATACCTGCCTATGAGATAAACACTTCATGCCCCTTGTGTTAAATACTATTTTATTGCCTGCATCTGTCTGTTGGTGTGTGTGTGTTTGTGGGTGTGCACGCACTTAGACCAGCCACTCATATATCTATTTGCTTAGCTGTGATCCTAAAATCACTGACCTGGTAGTATATATACTTTTTTGAATTTGAGATACCTATTCACATGCAAATGATTATGAAATAAACAGATGTTCTGAATATGTGTATACTTAATACAATGACAGTTCTATGATTTCCAGTGCACATTGCTGACTGACTGATCATTACCAGTGTTTGATAAGAATCATACTCTGCATTTTATTAACAGTAAATTTTCTGTTGTCTACAAACTATAGAATAATTCTAACAAACACATTAGTGAGGGCTCTTCTCCATTTATTTCAGTTATTGTTATTTTCACTTTTCCAAATAATGCATTATCTCTCAGTCTCTGTTGAGGATTGCATTTTACTACAACCAGCCCAAGAGCAGTTAATTCCATCATGACAAGTACAATAACTGAGAACACCCTCTCAGATTTATTATCTGTGTGGCAAATTGGGGCCAGAGCAGTATTTATGGAGGAGGTTTTGGTGGATGGCCTTAAAGTATAGAATGCTTTCCTGGGAATCTGCCAAGGGGCACATCAGAATAGCTTCTGAAAGAGATCTCAGACTTCTTTTTTAAAAAAGTCGACTAGTTCTAGTTTCCAGACACATAAGGGTATGAAGGCATAATCCAGATAAGAGGAAGATATTTAGCTGCTTGGGAAAGAAATAATACAAATTGGAATTGCATAAAGTGCAGGCTCCAGTATTGGAAATGTCATTAATAACATATTGCCTAAGCTAACTCAGGTGATGGGGTAATTTAAAGTGTTTTCCAGTCTTTACTATTTAATTATAATATGTGATATCTTGCATGTTTTAAATGGGTTGTTCTGCTGTGGTTTGATTAGGAATGAGAATATTTTTTGTACTTCTTTCTTTTATTCTTCCTGACTGAATTCTAAAACTGTGGTGACTGGAGCCTCTGGCGACACACCCCACAGAGTTGTATGGGGAGGAGACACCTTTGTTTGGAGCTCTGATATGTGATACCAGATATATTGTCTTGCTCAGGAATGTTTATGCTATATGAAGGCCCTGAAGGACCATCTGCTCCCATATATACCTACCCGCCCATTAAGATCTGGGCAGGAGGTCCTTCTAGAAGAACCATTCCTTAAGGAGGTAAAGGGCACAGTAAATAGAAGGGCCTTCTCAGTGGCTGCTTCTCAACTATAAATTGGCTCCCCAAAGGAATTTGCCTGGTGCCAGCTTGTTTTCATTTGGCACCAGCTGAAGACATTTCTTCTCTCTGAATGTTTTCAAGGACAGCCTTAAATTTGTTATTGCTTACTAGTATAACACACACACACACACACGCACATTTTGTTTTAGTATTTTACTGTAAGCTGTCTAGAGAATCCATCTGGATTAGTGGGCAGCATACAAATTCAAAAATAAATAAATAAATCCATTTTTTTTCTACTTGTATCTTTTTAAATACATGAAACATTACAGTTTCCAGTCAATCTCCTCCAAAAGGAATCTAAAGCCTGCTTTGTACTCAAGCTGGACTTTCTCAATAGTCATCAATGTAGGAAGCTGTAAAAAACACATGCTGCTTTTATTCATCAGGGCAAAAAAAAATACATTACATTTAAAAAGCAAGAAAAACAAGTCAAAATTGGTAAAACAAGAGGGATTATGGTTTAAATTTTGCCATGATTTATTAATGTGTAGTTAGCAGTTTGGTAACAGGGAGACATGAGAGAACAGGAGAAAAATGCTATGCTATGTAGAGTCTTCAGAACAGAATATAAAACAGAAAAATTGAGTCTATTCCATTTCACAAACAGGGACAAGTATATTAGAATTACAGAATTTAGTGGGGAATGAAGAAAATTTTGCAAGCATCCCTAGGTTTAGCATGAATATTTTTGTTCAGATAAAGCATGATGGACTATAATATAATATGCTTTCCTTCAGGTGAAACCTGTTCTAAATTTAAATATCACAGTAATGAAACTGGGAGCAACTCAGAACATTTCATTAGAGTTAGTGAGCTGGTGTGTATTTCAATTAGAGATGTAACTATATCATACTGAAATGCTGTCATCTGTGGCAAACAACAAGAGTATGCATTTTTACTCCTGATTTCTAATTGAGTTGTCTTGCTGTCATATGTTATTGCTATCAGCTGTTTTGTTGGCAATACATTTTAGAATACTAATACTAATGATAATCCCGTGACAGACAGCATATAAATCTGAGAAATAAATACATAAAAACAAATTCATTAAGCAGTATACAAACCACACAAGCCAGGCTGGTCCTCACAACACAAGAAGCCATGGTGAAATATTACTACTGTGGGTCTGTTGTGGTTACTGAATTCAGTTCCAGGGTCCCTGCATAGTAGGATTAGTTTTCTGAAACTGAGAATCAGTTATCTGTTCTAAGACTTCCATCTCTTCTCCAGTTGTCCATAACCAGGATCAACATTTTAGCATTATTAGGATGGGATCATGATAGAGTTCCCTGCAAATGTGGTGGCAGAAGTGGCTGCCTCTAGCCTTCAGTCTTTACTGCTCCCAGCTCTATAGCAACAGATGTGTCACTGCTTGCTTTAGTCCCATTGGTTGATCAATATGTCCATCTCCCTGTTTACTAGTAGAAACAGAGAGATAGTCCAGAAATGCATGACAGAAGAAAAGAGCAGGGAAGAATCATAACAAAATTGTTAAGTTGTATCAAAAATGTGGGAGAGGGGCTTGGAAGTAAGACAAACATGTAGGTACACTTGCAAAGGGGATGGGAGGAATCCACCCCTGGATTGCAGTGGACCAATCGGGAAAATGAATAGGAGGAATAGGAATAAGAGCAAGAATAGGAAAATGATGGGCTGTTTGGATGCATGACAAAGCTGGGAAAATAGAGTGGGGAGTGTGAAAACTGCATTGTCTTGGTAACCGTGTGATCATCTGACTGACAAATTTGGGCAGAAATCCACACACCAGTGCAGGGGTGTTTGCTGTGTCATGTGAAGTCAGCCAAAATGTTGATTGTTCCGTAGCATTTGGCCAAAAGCTAAGAAGTATTTTACAACAATTGGATGCATATGCATGGCACATTTATTCATCTGTATCCAAGCAAAGTCTTGTTTAATCACATCTAATTTTGGTATCTGATTCTCTCAAAACATTGTGCATTTCTGAAAATAGCTACATGCAGGGTGTTGGGTTTGTTGTTGTTTTCAGCTGAGGTTAACTATAGTCAATTTAATACAAGTTAGTGCCTTCCTTAGAAATGTAGTAACAAGTAGTTCTTGATCCCAGATCTACTGGATGTTGCCTGCTTATTTTATCCACCCATGAGAATCCCCACCTTTCAGCAATTGCATAATCTGTTGTGTGATATAACTGTTCTTTTGTAGCTGGGATTCTCAGGTGCCAGGATTTACCTTTAGTGACAAGTTCATCCAGATTGCTACTCGCCTTCCATCACAGTATTTATATGGATTTGGAGAAAATGAACACCCGCAGTTCCGCAGAGATATGAACTGGCAAACCTGGGGCATGTTCAACAAAGATCAACCGCCTGGTGTAAGCAAAATTATGGTTTGGGTTGGGGTTTGAAATTTCCATGATTTCTTAGTTGAACTTTCTTCCAGTATGAGAACTGAAATGTGTAATCAAAATAGTTCCTGTCCTAAGTAGCTAATATTCTTTAGGAATCAATCAATATTTTATGATATTATTGCATAGCATTATAAAACAAGGAAAGAGTTTTCTTTGGGCCATAAGATTTGTGACTATATTCCAGGACTGAACTGAATTTCATTCATTTCACATTTTGTGCACATCTTTTGAGACAGATCTAGCAAACCTTGTAGCTGTTGGCTTTTAAAAACAAAACAGAAATTAATGGAATGGACACATTTATAATGGTGATTATGCAAACAAGGCAAACCATTCTGAAGAATTAAAAATACATACATATATTCACATTAAGTGATTTCTCTAAGGCCACAAAAAGATTGTGAAAAGTCAAAATAATGGGTTTCAAGAGGCAGGAGTGCTCTTAACATAGAAAGTGATTTAGCAATGTTGAGTAGCATTACAAAATTATATATTCCCAGTAATATTTGGGACAAGCTATAGCATTTAAATGGCTTTATGTTTTCAGAACAACACAACCATCCCTGCCCCAGGGAAGCTTTGTGTATTACATTTTTGCAGCTCTAGTAACTTCTACAACTGCATTTTGTGGCAGTCATGCTTTTACCTTATGGCCAGTTATTGATACTTCTAAATAACATGCCAAGGAAAGAAAGATGCACCAATCTGAGTCAATACATCTAATATCAAGACACTTCTTATGACTAAAGATGGTATGAATATGAGGATGGACAGGCCTCCATGCACACTGCCAAATGGTGGGCAATGTCCAGTTTACTTGCTTTAGAGCTGAACTATCCACAATGGAGTGAACTTCCTAAAGGCTGTATTTTCCTAGTAAACTTGAGCCTAAAGTTGCTCAAAGCCTGAAGGTAACAGAATGAGATTCAATAAGGATAAGTGCTAATCCTCCACCTAGGAAAAAGAAACCAAATCATTAATACAAGATGGGGAATATGTGGCTCAGCAGAATTGAAAAAGAAAAAGACCTCACAGTAATTGTGGACAACAGGAACGCCTACTTCCACATTTGCCCTCCCGCCCCTTGAGATCGGCAGCAGAGGCCCTCCTCCAGGAGCCCTCCATGAGAGACATTAGGAGGCAAAGTACCCAGAGGAGGGCTTTCTCTGCGGTGGCACCCCATCTGTGGAATGTGCTCCCCAGAGAGGTCCGCCTGGCGCCATCGTTACTTGTTTTTCAGTGCTAGGCTAAGACCTTTTTATTTAAACAATATTTTAACAACGCTTGATAATATTTATAGGTTTTAATTGTGCAGCCAGGGTGTTTCTGGGTTTTAATTGTATTTGTATTATGTTTATTTATTTATGTGAGCCATCCCAAGGCTACACGCAATAGGACAGCATACAAAAATTCTAAATAAATAAATAAACAGGCTAAATATGAGACAACAATGTGATGCAGCTGCCAAAATGGTGAATACTACTTTGGGATGCCTTAATAGAAGTATTACTTCCAAATCAAGAGAAGTAATACTATTCCTATATTCTGTTCTTGTCAGACCTCATCTGGAATAGTGTGTCCAGTTTTGGGTACTAAGATTTTAAAAAGTTGCAGAAAAATTATAAAGGATCCAGAGGAGGGCAACAAAAATGTTCCAGGGTTTGGAAACACTGCCCTGTGAAGAGAGACAGTGAAAACTGGGCATGTTCAGCCTTGAGAAAAGAAAACTGAAGGGGACATGATATCCCTCTATAAGTACCTCAAAGGCTGTCACAAAGAGAAAGGTCAAGATCTCTTCTTGCTGATGCCATAGGGCAGGGCATGGAATAATCAATTCAAGTTGCAGCTACCCAGATTCAGACTGGACATCAGGAAGAGCTTCCTCACTGTCAGAGCAATTAAACAGTGGAACCAGGTGCCTAGAGAGGTGGTGGACTCTCCCACACTAGAGACATTCAAAAGGAAACTGGTCAGCCATCTGAGTAGGTTGGTGTAAATTGGTGTCCTACAACAGCAAGGGGTTGGACCCAATGGCCTTCATGGCCCCTTTCAACTCTACTATTATGTGAAACCCTGGGTTGAACCTAGAAACATAGCATGGCTGAGACAGAGGGAGGCAGTCTCCTTGCTACAAGTCATTCCAGTGCTGACACCAAAAAAAAAAAAAAAAAAAAGAGGAGCAGCAGATGTCATATCCAAGCTTGAATCTATGATAGAAAGACATGCTTCATGGACCTGTTTCATCTAGAAAATTTCTGCAATTCAGTAAAGTGGTGAGTCTACACTGGCTGTTTGAGAAGCATTTGGTGTAGTTGTGAGTTCTGCAAAACTCACATGATGCGATTATTGCATGTTATAATTATGTGACAGTAGCAATAGAATATGTGTATTAATGGCACAATATGTTTAGCAACCATGGGATTGGTTAGGCTCCAAATACTGTTCTTACAGGTGTTGGGCATTTACACTCTGAACATTAAAGATTTCAATTACCTATTTGCAACTATATTGGTTAACTGATTAATGAGAGCTCTCAATAAAGATTTAATTTGTTGTTTGCAAATGGTGTCATGATTAATACCAGCTCTAGGCATTTTATTTTCATGGCTTACTTGAGATATATTTGACTTCAAAACCAGAGTACATCCCCTTTCCCCAACAAAACAAGTTAATGTCAAGCAAGAAAGGAAGATTGGAAAGATTTATATACATGCCCAAATGTAAATCAAATATCAATGCCCAGAATGCACAGGGAACACTCAATATCCCATTTCTGGGTTAACTAAAAGACAATTATACTCATTATTTCTATATTCCAGCTTTGGCCCTTGAAGCATGATCAACTCCCCGGGAGGCTTTGATGAACCAGGACAATCTCCAAAAAATAATAAAAATGATAATAATAATTTAAAAAGTATAGATCTCATGCAATAGACTTGGCAAGAAATTAGACATACATCACTCATTCACTGAAGATATTTGGTGTGTAGACATGGAGATGATTTTCACTGATTATTTGTGAAAATTTTACATTGTGTATCTATCTATCCATCTGCATGTTCCCTTGGGAAGGTGGTACAGATGGCTTTTTAGGAATGCAATGAATGTGATGCATGTATTTGGAAGGGAGGATGGATGGATGGATGGAAGGAAGGAAGGAAGGAAGGAAGGAAGGAAGGAAGGAAGGAAGGAAGGATTTTTAGGTGCAAGAATGTAGAATATCTTGATTTTATATATGAACATGCTGCATACAGATAGTGATACGCATGTTTTTGTTTTTGTTTTTTTACAGTACAAACTGAATTCATATGGTTCCCACCCTTTCTACATGGGACTCGAAAATGATGGAAGTGCACATGGAGTTCTTTTGCTGAACAGCAACGCTATGGGTAAAAGAATGGCATCCTTTTAATCTAAACACAATTCTAGTTATTGTGCATAGAAACATTTGTAATGATAACTATTCATCCCACACTATGTCTTCTGGTTGTCCTCCAGATGTCACCTTCCAGCCAACACCTGCCCTTACATATCGCACAACAGGAGGCATTCTGGACTTTTATATGGTGTTGGGGCCAACTCCAGAGAAAGTGGTTCAGCAATACACCAGAGTAAGAGAGATCTGGGATTTTTAATTTATGTTCTCTGATCCATTAGAGGAGTTTGGGACCTGGAAGCAGCCTTGCATATGTGTAAACCATGTAAACTATGCTGTATATTTTGAATGAATATTGTAAGCTGTCCAGAGACTTGTAGTAATTGGACGGGTTAGAAATATCCAAATAAATAAAGAAATATGCACATAAATGTCAATGGACACATCATAGCGATCAGTCCCAATTGAATTGGCTGTATGCATCTTTTGCAGTGGAGGATACCCTGGAGAACTTCTTGCTGTCGCCAGTAGTGTGCAAATACATCTAAACTGATGTGATTTATTGATTGAATTTCTCCCTTCTGCTCTTCTGATTCTATCATTAATTCTATCATTCACAGCTTATAGGACGACCTGTTATGCCACCATATTGGGCTTTGGGATTCCAGCTGTGCCGGTATGGATACAAAAATACCTCTGAGGTCATTGATTTGTATAATGCAATGAGAGCAGCTCGAATACCCTATGTAAGTTTCTTACAACTGCAATCTGTTGTTGGACTCTACCCATGTATTTCAGGAAAAAATGATATAGCAATTAACATACCTATATTGAAACTTGGCTTAATCTTGTTCATTTTTTTAAATGCTGGGAATTTAAAATAATGATTTCAACCATGATAATTATCTTTCATGGATATGGCCTACTGATGAAGTATATCATGAGTTTTTCTAGACAAAGCTATTAGACCTGCTTCCTATTGTTTTCTCTTCTGGGATTTGTGCAGGATTCCAGCTTTACACAATGCTTTAAAAACAAACAAGGACCTATTATTACATATTGCTATCTCTCACTTATACTATTGGGAGGAAGCTAGCAGGATTTTCCAAAATGTCTACATTATGCCTATCCGCTATCCTTCCCTTTGAGTATAGACTCTCCATCCCCTTATTTTCCATGAACATCTATGTACATTTTTTTCACTCAGTTTCTGTTTTTTAACTGGTACACTGTTCTTACACAGCTTCAAAAGTCTAGTCTTCTTCCCATTAACTGTTAAATCTCCCTCCATAAAAGAAAGCAATATGCCCCCACCTTCTTCACCTGCTCCACACCCTAAGGAGGGGATATTGCTCAAGTTTGAATGTCCATTTCATTTTTCATTTTGCTTGCAGCTCTGCTGATGAATAGGAGACTGTTTTGAACGTCTCAAGTGGGAGGGAATCAGGCTCTGCTCTGTTCCAATCTGTGAACTGGCTTCATCAATTTGAAACTGAGTTGGTGTGGCTCCCATTGATAATATCTGATAATATCACAACCTCTTCCTCCAAAATATTGCAGAACAAAGCCAAATGGCACAACCACAGGGTTTGGTTTTGTGATTCCCCCGAAATACCACATTTTTCCCTATGCTGGGGAAGAAAGAGAAAAGTAGCTGGAAATGGTAGGAGAAACACAGGAGATCTTTAAGTACGTACAATTCCTTTTCAAGTACAAAGTATATGTGCATATTCTAGAAAAGCCAAAGTCTATGAAAACTTATGGGAGAATAATTAAATTCATTAGCCTTTAAAATGGCACAACATTTATTGTTGTTTTTGCTGCAGAAAACTAAAATTGGTGTATTCAGAAATTATTAACATTATTATTCACAATGATAAAATACAATATCATATAACAACAGTATTTATAAAAATGATAGCTGAAAATATTCCACACTGATATGCCAGTATCAGTGAGACATAACACAGCACAGCACAGAACTTTAAATGAGACACTGCAGGTGAAGAAATAGCCTTGATTTTGCTGATTTATTTTCCATCCTAGTGGAATCTTTAAGGGTTCCCATTTACTTTCTCCCATAAAAATGAATGTTTCTGCTCCTGCAGAGTAAATGTAAAGTGATTAGGTATGCTGTTGCAAGAGGGCAAAACTGTATTGTAATGGTGGCATCAGATATGGGGTGCCACCATATCAACTATGAGGTGACACTGTATCAACTATAAAAGTTCTGCCTCCACATACAGCACGGTCCTGGATCATGAGTCGTACTACTTAAATGAATCACCTTCAGTACAAAAGTGTCCTAACAGCACTAACTGATATTTACTTTCTGCATACAATTTGCGTATCAGTGGGAAACTATATGTAATATCAACATGGGACTCAACAGGATTTGGATAACTAGCAGTTTTTGGTGCAGTCTTAGGAAAAATACGTGTGCTTCTCAGCTGCATAGGCTGCATCCAATGGTACACTGCAGATGCCAAATGCCCTTCATTTACAGAAGGCTTGTTTTGTTTTTCGCAGTAGAGTGTTGCACATGAGAAGTAAAATTAAATCTAAAAATGTTTTTCCGCTTGCGTACTAGCACAAGCTGAAGTATGCAAAGCACAATAGGATATAGCTTTTATTACCTAGATCAAGTTTGCATGAAGCCTTCCACATGAAGCACTAAATGATATTTACTTTCTGCTCTTGGCTTTTTGGAGCCAATCTAATTTTATTTTGAAACATGCATATAGGATTGATTTTAAAGTTCTACATGGAAAGCTGAAGTGCTTACCTCCTATAGGTCTTGGTTCATAAGCATGCCTTTCATCCTGGCATATGCAAATAAAAAAGAAAGAAAGTGATGTGCAGTGCACTATATGTAATATTTTGCTGGTCATATTATCATATCCCATAAACTCAGTAGTCTATTTTTTTAAGTGATAAGTTTAATTATAGCATACTCTGCCTGTAATTAATGATCTCACGGGTTTCCCATGTTTGTGGCTTCAGCTTATGCTGCAAGGATTTGCTATCTTGCTCAAATTTATAGCATAAGAGTTGGCTGCTAATTTTCTTTTTAAAGTGTCAGCATTTATTGAAGGTTTAACCTAATGATAATTTTCACTGCTAAATAGTAGACTTAATGTTGCATATCTTGCTGGCATATTTGGTTTTCTGCATTGCTGGGTGTGAGATTAATGGCTTTGGCTGTCACACCAAAGTATGTAAAAACAACCACAGTGAAGTGGAATGTATAACTCAGGACATATATAAAGCCTGGTCTTGCATCTTCTGATGTACATGCAAATCTACTAAGAAATACAAGTTTCATCTATTGAATGTATGGGAAAGTCTTTGAGAAATGAGCTCATCCATCCCAATTAACAATAACTGAATTTGGGTGACTTGGTCAACCAATGGTTCAGCTACTTCTTTCTCATTCTATAAGTCCCCTGGAAACTACTTCAGTTAAACTCTTTGACATGGCCCCCAAATATTATCAGCTTTTATTCCACTGTCCAAAACCAACACAAAGGTTATTTCCTGAATACTTTGGTGTGGTCTACCTTAACTCTTTACATTTGTACACTAAAAGCATCTTCAGCAAGCATCTAGAAACCATAATAAATGAGGTAGCCCTTCCACCTTACTCACTGATGACCCAGTTTTCCATCTTAGCTTTGAACCCTGAACACTGATATTTCTAATTTATATTCTTCTATCATCACATATTCATTTTGTATCTGTATTTCACATATATTTTCACTACCTAATTGTTTTGAATGATAGTTGCTGATTTTAAAATGATTATTTTAATGTGTTTCATCACTGGTTTTAGAAAAATAGAAACACAGAAAACAGAGTGAGTCAGAAGGGTCCTCCTGGGCCACCTAGTCTGACCTCCGGCACCAGCCAGCTCCGCTCACGACATGCCCACCATGTGGACGTCCAGCCTATCTTGCTTTTAGCATCTTTTTTGGTCTTGGAGCTTTGGCTATAGAGTGGTTCATACATTCAGCTGTGGGGAAGATCCAGTCCTAGAGCCATATTAAGCCTTCCTGGGACCCCAGCCTGGGCCTCAGTTGGGCATGCTACCTTTTCCTGACTTCACTCCCATTTCCTCACCTGCTGCTCATGATCTGAAGATTCAACAGCTTTTGTCCAATCTCCCTCTGCCCTTTCTAAAGTATTCAGGTGTGTCTCCTAAGGCTTAGTTACTGACACGAAGAGTATTGACTGCAATAAGATGTGGCTTTAAAAATTATTTTGGCCTTACTGTCTTTGCCTTGGGCTCACCCATCACTGAGATACAACCCCTGCAAGTTTCTCTGGAATACAATTTGACCCTTGGGTTAAAAGGACGTATATTAAATGTATGAATGCTTTTATTTTGATGCAGGATGCGCAATATACCGACATTGACTACATGGAACGGAAACTAGACTTCACTCTGGACAAAAACTTCAAGGACCTTCCTCAGTTTGTCAGGAAGATAAAATCAGAGGGTACAAGGTTCATCATCATCCTGGTTAGTAATTCAATTACATTTGCCTTTGAATGATTCTACACTACCAGATAGTATAAGGGTTCTTCAAAAAGTGTCCACACTTTTGAAAAACTCTGTTTATTAAGAATTTCAGAAACAAATTACATCACTTTTCTACATAGTCACCTTTCTTTGCGATGCATTTTTCTGAGTGTTGTACCAACTTTTTAATGCCATCAGCAAAAAATATATAAGATATGTTTAATAAATATATAATACATAAGTGTGGGAACTTTTTGAAGAACGCTTGTGTATATAGTCTCACCTTTCTTTATTCTTTAGTAATGTTCCAACATATCTCTTCTTGTAGTCTTCACTGACCAACCAGCCCCCTCATTCCTCTAAATGTGAAAGACTGCCCCCACCTCCACAGAATCCCTATTATCTCATGCTTTAAATTCCTTCTGCAGCAGAATCTCTCTTGTCCCTTGAGAGAGGTGGCAACACCAGCAAGTCATTTTATAAATTGAAGACTCTTTATTGTAGGTGCACACAAGCAATGCGGAGTGAGTCCATCTCCAGTTTAGACCAGGTGCCATAGTCATCATGCAAAGAAAATTTATACATTTAGCTTTCTGCAATAGTTAGACAGAAAATAAAAATAGCAGGAAATATTCAGTTACTTTTGTACATAGCTATATTGACCTACACTCCCTTTTAGGTCCATTCCTACAGACATCAACATTTGGTGTCAAACCCTTTGTCTCCAGGCTCATCTTTACATATTCTGACCTTCTTGACAGAGGTTTATATTGTATTTTTGACCCACTTATGTCTCTCTGATAGAAACCTAAGTAACTGATTCTTGTAGTTTAGCTATTAGAAAAAATGTATGTTCTTCAGTGTCTACCAAGACTTGTTGTGTGTCAAGTAGTGACTTTGTACTAGTATACTTTTTCTAATAAAAGGCCAACCAGCATAGTTGCCTGGATGGAACTTTCAAGAAATGGCTCACAAATATCACATTCTACATTGTTTTGGGAAATTAAGGTCTAGAGAAGACGACTGAAACAATGTTGCGTGTATACCATGTATTCTCTCTCTCTCTCTCTCTCTCTCTCTCTCTCTCTCTCTCTTTCTCTCATATAAAGAATGCTCTTCTATAAATTGTCTGATTTGTTTAAGTCAGTGCTGTTTTTTGCATTGGGAACTTTCTGAAATCAGAAAACAGGATAAAATAGAATGGATAAATGAAAAGCACATATGCCTCCTGGATTATCATACAAGACTAAAATGGTCTCATGTTGTTTTAGGATCCAGCCATATCAGGCAATGAAACTGAATCATATGAAACCTTCACAAGGGGTTTGCAAGAGAAGGTTTTCATCACATGGCCTAACAGCACTGACATTGCATGGGGAAAGGTAATGTTACAAGCTGACTTATGTAAAACCTCCAGAACTCCATTTGATTTGCAGTTGGTAGGTAATGACTGGGGGAGAAAATTACATGCAGTCAGGAAAATAAGTAAGATCTTGTTTGGAGAAAGTGAATCACATTATTTTACAGCTAGTTCATATTGCTGCCATTCTTTCGTTCTGACTTTTAATCAAGCCTTGGGAGATGCACAGAGGAAGAAGGGAAAAGGAAAGCCAAAATGAGTATTGGTCATTTAATGAGAAAAAGAATCCAAGATGGATTTGGAATCAGAAAATCTTTGAAATGATCTGGAAAAAAAGTGGGGGGCATGTATAGGAAGTGCAAAAAAGGCAAGACTACAAAGGAAGAATAGAGGCGGGTAGCACAGACTTCCAGAGGTGTTGTCAGAAAGGCTAATATTCTGACAACACAAGATTAGGAATGAACTGAGGCTAGCAAGGAATGCTAAAAGCAACAAAAAAAAGTCTCCTTCAGATAAGTCTAAAGACAGAGAAATAGATACGAGTTTCACAACTCAATGACCATCCCAGAGGGCAGGGCATGGAATAATGAGCTCATGTTACAGGAAGCCAGATTCCAGCTGGAGTTCATGAATTTTTTCCTGGCTGTTAGAGCAGTGTGACAATGGACTCAATTTCCTATTGGGGTTGTAGGCTCTCCCACACTGGAGGTATTCAAGACACAACTGGATAGCCATCCAAGAGGGATGGTTTAACTTGCAGTCCTTCACTGAGCATGACATTGGACCCGTAGCCCTCTGGCTCCTTCCAATTCTACTATTCTTTGATTCCATGATTCTCTCTCCTTGGTGTTGGATAGAACACCCTGCTTTTCTGGTGATTACATAATTCACTCTAAGAACATGTACACACATCACCGTGCAATAAAAGGAAAATAAAATAGCAAATTCCTACACACACACAGCCCTGCCAATCAAAAATCTCATTATGCATGCAGAAATGTTCTGGTATGCTTTGAATTATGCAAAGAGATTTCTCTTCAGACATTATATTTAAATAGGTGTGTATTCCTCTTGCTGATGGACATCTGACCAGATATACAGAGTGCAAAGTGAACACTGAAATAAATTAATTCTTTAGTGGAGATGTATGAGCATTTTGTTTCTGCTCGCAAAATGTATAAGCGTGCTTTTGCTGAAGTTCTAGATGCATTGCTTGCACAAAAGGTTCACAGATTTTTAAACATGCACTCATGTTTGCTTTATTCCCAATTCCCAGGTGATTTGCACAAATTGTCTCTGTAGATGGCCTTCACCTATGGAGGAAATTCAACTGCTGCTTGATTTGTGCAGTTTTCCTATTCACAAAAAGTGGGCAGCCATTTCAAAGGAATATCAAGCATGGATGAGTGGAGACTTAGTCAGAGAATATTTGCCCATTTATGTTATTTAGATCCTAAAAGAATAGCATGTTTTAAGAGTCAGACAGGAAGGTATTCTGCATGCCTGATGCATTCTTTCTGCTTTCCCAATTAGGTATGGCCAAATTATCCCAATGTAACAGTTGATGAAAATGCAAGTTTGCAAGAACAGATTGAGGTAATTTTTTTAAAGCACTTTCATAGCTCAGGTGTTACAGAAAAAACCATACTGGTAATAATTAGTATTACTGGTAATATTATTATTATTATTATTATTATTATTATTATTATTATTATTATAACATTTCTATGCCGCCCCTTGCCGAAACCTCGGGGCGGCTTACAACATGATAAAATACATTGAAATACAATAGTACATAATAAATTACCAATAAATACAAAAATACAAAAAATACATTGATTTACAAATATAAAATTAAAATTATCAGTATAAAATAAAAATATAGGAGGAGAAAGAGAAGGAAGAAGAAGTTGCCCTGGCCAGATCATATGTTTTAACAATTGAAATGATGTCTAATGAGCTCAACCTTTCCTTTTAAAGCCACATGTTAACCATGCTTATTTTAGAGAATGCTTGTGATTGATTTCTTTGAATTAATATACCCTTTCAAACAACCTCCCGCAAATGATTAGGCTACATCTCCCACCATCCATAACCACCGGCCATCATGGCTGCAGTTAATGTGAACTGTAATGGGAAAAATGGAGTGAGCCATATTGGGAAAAGTTTCACTAGAATCTAAGTATATTTCATTGAAACGGAGACATATGATGTACAATAATCTTATTTACTTAATTTATCATGTACTTCTGCCAACCAAGGTAGGGCAGGTGAGAATGGAGAATGAGCAAATGGTGTACCCCATTTGCTAAATTTTCTCCTCTGGGCCTTTCTGGAAATGTTGTCCCTTCTGAGCCAGGTTATAACATTTTTCCTTTCCCACCTTTCCCGAGTATTTTCACCTGCTGTATTGTGTTGTGTTGTGTTTTGATTTTTATTAGTTTGCTTCCTGGAAACTTAGCTGAAGAATGGTTTAGAAAAGTTTGCTTATTTATTTACTTAAAAAATATCTGTTTTGTTTCCGTGTCATTCATTATCAGCGGTATCGAGCTTATGTTGCTTTCCCAGATTTCTTCCGCAATTCCACATCACAGTGGTGGCAAAGAGAAATAAACAAATTTCATGCTAATGTTCTTCAGTTTGATGGCCTGTGGACTGTAAGTACCATGCCCTGTTGTTTTGAAGGCTTGACAACTGTTTAACTAATGCAGTGGTATAGAAATGTTAATAATAATACATGTGTTCATTCGCTTACTACACTACTTAATCTTTGTGAGGAATGTTTTTTATAAAATCTTCAGGAGGTTTTCCCCTTGGTGTTTCTTTATTTTGTTTGATAAGCAGTGTCCTGTTTTAATAATTCCTGGTCTATATTTAGAAACATAGAAACAGAGAGAGTCAGAAGGGGTCTCCTGGGCCATCTAGTCTGACCCCCGGCTCCAGCCGGCTCTGCTCACGACATGCTAATTTTAATGTCCTAATTTTGCCTTTAAAAGCCCAAGTCTAGGTTATTTTAGGAATATACTCACTACCATGAAGAGATGGTGCTTCACATTCTACTACTTTGTGTGGCTGTCTTCCAAGAATAGGGCTTTTTGAGAGCTGCAGGTGGTCAAAAGTTACTGCTTTGTTAATGTTTTGGTTCTTTAAAACATTTTAGGACATGAATGAACCAGCAAACTTCATCAATGGAAACGTTGGTGGCTGCAAAAATCAAGAACTAAATGCTCCTCCATATTTACCAGGTAAAATTGGCTTCTGAAACAGAAGCCTGATATAACAACAGGAAAAAGTAAATATCAGGGATGCATGAGAAGCTTCTTCCAGCTCAGTTTTGCCCAGATGATATTCAACTGATACCTCATGTATTTGAATACAAACTCAAACACAATTTTTCATATATTTCCAAACTTGCAGTATGATTCATAAAAAATGTATTCAACAACATACATACATTTGAAAAAAATGTTTACAAACACGTTTAATCAAGGGGAAACTACAGTTTCAAAACTATTATGCACATAAATATGGACATAGAAATTTTACTGTGAAAAGAAAAAGAATAAAGATAGCAATCTGATGAAGACACATAACAGGTTGGAACAAGCTTCAAGGTGGGATTCAGAAAACCCAGATGAGCTCAATGTATTTCTGATTCCCAACTGACTTGTACCTAGATGTTACTAAAAACTTCTAACTTGTTCTATTGATTTAGAACATAATTTAATTATGACCAAGTACGCCAGAGCCATAGCTTAGTAATTTAGAGTGCAATTCTAACAAGAATTACTAGAAAGTATGGCCTGCTGAACATAGGTAGACTTAATTTTGAGTCAACAGTCATAGGACTGCAATACATCACTTATGCCATTCAATCAGAAAATAAGTATCCACTGTTTAATATATGGCCATGTTACCAGGTTTTTTTTTAACCTAAGAGTTCAGCTTTTGGTCAAACCCCTCCTTAATGAAAGAAAAGATAATAAATTGACAGTATACTTGGCATAGTTAGGACATGCATTATTTTCTCAAGAACTTTTATTGTAGAAAACACCCAAGGGGGCATCTAAGAGATGGAAATGTAATATGCAATGCATCATACACGGACATCCATAGCAATGCCTATATTGTGTCTGTACCAGTGTATTGGTATAGACACAATACAGGCAAGAGGGTAATCCTGCAGTGTGCTCCCTCTCAAATAACCATTGAGTTATGTTAAAAATGTTATTGCTGGAGGAAACCCCTGCGAGTCCTTGGACTGCAAGATGATCAAACGGGTCAGTCCTAGAGGAGATCAACCCTGACTGCTCTTTAGAAGGCCAGATCCTGGAGATGAAACTCAAATATTTTGGCCACCTAATGAGAAGGAAGGACTCCCTGGAGAAGAGCCTGATGCTGGGAACAATAGATGGCAAAAGAAAAAGGGGACGGCAGAGAATGAGGTGGCTAGATGGAGTCATGAAGCAGTCGGCGTGAGCTTAAGTGGATTCTGGGGGATGGTGGAGGACAGGAAGGCCTGGAGGAATATTGTCCATGCAGTCATGATGGGTCGAGCAGGACTTCCCGACTAACAACAACAACAAAAATGATATAATCTGAATATTTGCATACACACATTTTCTCATGCGTTTGCTCATGTGGATCATCTATAATCAGGGTAAAAAACTAAATACTTTATAAAATGAAGTTTTCCCTCCGAAAAATGCAAAATTCATACAAATGCTTTTCGTATATGCAGAAGGGATCCCAGTTGGTGTTCTGTTTAATTATCCAAGCATCCCGTCCAGGTTTGACCACAGCAAGGCAGGCTTCTGTTAAACTGTAAAACTTCATCATGTACTTGCAGATCAGTCTGGAGTCTGGGGTCTTGTGTCTACTGGAAAAAAAGGCACTGCAAACTGAGGAACCATTGTAGATGAGAAAGCAGGTCACAATTCTCATCTGCCAATTGTTCCCCAGTGCAGTAATGTAGTTTACTGCATGAGGACTGGACCAAATATACCTTTTGCCAAAGGTTGCATAAGTTAAATCCTTCACTGAGGCGAAGTTACATGTTCTGTTTTTGGGAATCAAGCTCAGGTAAAGGCAATTTGAAGATCTATTTATTTCCCTGATTTATGAAGTGCTACAGGAATCCTGTTAATATTGTGGCCTTATCTCTCCTAGCCTTGGTTTCAAGGGAAAAGGGACTGGATCTGGTGACCATATGCATGGAAAATGAGCAGAAGCTTCCTGATGGGACACCCGTGAGGCATTATGATGTTCACAACCTCTATGGATGGTCACAAGCAAAACCTACTTACTAGTAAGAAATGTTCATGGTTCTACCCTCTTGAAATCCCAGTACCTTTAGACTGTTGTGATATATATTACAGAGATGCATGAACCCAGAGGCAAAGGAGACATTATTCAGGTAAACGTGTTGCTACATTTTGAGGAAACTTTCTCATGGGAAATGTCTGTAAGTTTCCATAACCTAACAGAGCTGAAGAGCAGGTCTAGAGGAACAGCAACAGAAAGGAGGGTGAGACAAGGACTGTCCCCACTTGTTCCTCCCCTTCTGTTGGGTGTCTGCCAGCAGAATGTAGGAGGTACTCCAAGATTAGAGTGCTCCTTGGAGGAGCACAAATGTTTTACATACCAGCCAGTGCAGAGCTGCAGAGAAATTCAGCCCAGAATGAACTGGAAAATGCAGTAGCACCAGAGAAGCAGTTAGATTTAACAAGCTGTTAGTTTTCTGATAAATTGCACATTATCTTCTGTTTCTTACTGACCCTCAAAACATTATGTATAACCAGTAAGTGCTAACCTTGTGATAATGATAGATTTCTTAGCATCCGCTATCTCTAGTGTAAAAGCAGTGCATGAAGCATAATCTGGGCCTGTTGTCATGGACAACTGTGTCATGTTGTCATGGGCAACACATGATCCTTCCATTTAATTCCCATTTTCTGGTTCAATAGAGAACTGCAAGTGCGAAAATCAAAACACGACTAACAATCCTATGCCCCCTCATCAGTGTGCCAGTTCTTATGAGACTGTTGAAGGAAAGCCTCCTCCATGTGTTTTTAAGCATGTCTAAATGGTTCCCTGCCACTGCCGGGAACTGATTTGTCTTCTGTCTGTGGAAGGAAGAATAGATGAAGCCCTGCCCCTTGCTCCATATCTTCCCTGTTTAGCATTGCTGACTGTGCAGAGGGGGGGATGCTGTAATTTTGGAATTCTGATAAAAATTTAGGATTGCTATCTAGGATTGCTGCCCACTGTGGGATTCTGCAGGTCACACAGAGTTTGCTTCATATTAATGTATTTTTTTAAAAATGTAATGCTTATTAACCTTCTTGCAATCCCAAAAGAGACGCACGTGCCATCTAACTGGAATCTTTAAGTAGAATAATGTGGAATGTAGAATTACTTTTACATAAGATTGAAAAATTGTTGACACCACTTCCCTGTATGTTATTGTGTCTCCTTATCAGTGGAATGCAAAATGCAACAGGAGAACGTGGGATCGTTATTACTCGTTCAACTTACCCATCAAGTGGACGATGGGCAGGACATTGGCTTGGTGATAACTATGCAAAATGGGATCAGCTTGAGAAATCAATAATTGGTAAAAGTGCTCTTCAGTTTAAATCCACATGCATTTATTTATTTATTTGGCCAGGAAAGTTCCCATTTGACAGCATTTCAGTTTCAGTGATATGTTGGAGTGTTAAACACAGAAGATTTGTATTCCAGATTATGAATGAATGTAGCTTCTCTAAGGCTTGGACTTGATCCCAATGGCTTGTCTTTGGGTCCAGCAGAGTGTCCAGTGAAGGTTCTCCCTTCTACTTCAAGAACATGCCTTCAGCATCCCTTCCATCTCCTGTGAAAGAGAGCCCACTACGCTCAGCGCACTTTGTCCCCCTCTCAGCCTGTTGTTACACTGCTCCTTTTAATCTGAATTCTGTTTTGCCATTTCCACCAATCCATTATAATCTAGCCTGCTTTCTGGAGGATCAACAGCAACAACAAAAGTCTGTTCCATCTTCCTTGATACAGAGAATCTGGGTGCAAGAGTACACAGATTACTCAATTGGTTATTAATAAGTCTCAGAGCAGGATAGGTGGGTCAGGTCTCTCAACGGTCAAGTGGCAAGGAGAATGTTACAGCGCAGATACAGATGCAGAGGTGGGGCAAATATGGGACCCAGTATGGGAAAAAGGGTCATCTGTATGGCCCCTTCATCTCCTTTTACAGTGTGCTCAAGTTAATATTATTTCATCATAATTCTAAAAGGCAGTACTAGATTAAATGATGTCTAATGACATTCCTCTGGAAATATACCTTGCTTTTATAAAACAACAAAATTTAGTTATGCACATCTACATAATTGTATTATTTAATATAGCATATATTTTATACTTTAAAATGTAATTTATTCTATTCTATCTCATTTTCACAGGTATCATGGAGTTTAGCCTCTTTGGAATCTCCTACGTAAGTTCTGTTATTGGATGAACTTTACAACTGAAATTATTTGAAATGCTGTCTAGTAACTCAGTGTGACATGATGAGACATTTTAACTTATTTCCTATTTTCTTAATTTTAGTGTGGTGCTGACATTTGTGGTTTCTTCAATGACACAACCTATGAATTGTGTGCCCGATGGATGGAGCTTGGAGCATTTTACCCTTTCTCTAGAAATCATAACATGATGGGAACTAAAGTATGTCAACATTTATTGGCAATGTATTGTATAAAATAGTGTAGTATCTCCAATACTGCTTGGTAATATCTTAAAGGCATGGAAAGTTGCTTCTCTTTTATCTCTTAATCCAACTTTCTTTGGATAAGGGAGCAGAGAATTCCCTCTGCTCCAGTTAATATTTTATGAATGTCTCTGGATCTGTTTATCCATGGACCAACAGGTGCATTCTTAATTCTGCCAATAATGAATGGGGACCTGGAGGGAACAAAGAGACTACATTCTCTAGAGTCTAATAAAAATAGAGTCTCTCTCATTTATTTTACCAGTCCAGTCTCCCCACACTTGGTTGGCTGTAAGCTTAACCCTGATGTGATTTTGCCTTCCTTTCTGATACGTGGCTTGATTCAGAAAGAGGCATTTGCCAGAAACCTTTTGCATACATCTGTTGTTTTCATGGAACACATATTGTAACTAATCTGTGAGAGACTGGAAATGGAAAGTTATGTCTCATGAGACATAACTCAGAAAGTTATGTCTCATGCACTGAGTGCATGACCTGATCCATTTCTTTGCAATGTTTGTGTGAGCAGCCAATGGGCCAATTTTGTGTAAAGAGGACACCTGTTTGGGCTTCTTTCATTCAATTCTGATGGCAAATAATGCTACCCAAGTATATCTCCCTTTGTATATGCCTTTCAGATTACAGCTCAGCACAGAAATAGTGTGTGTGTGTGTGTGTGTGTGTGTGTGAGAGAGAGAGAGAGAGAGAGAGAGAGAGAGAGAGAGAGAGATACACCAGCTCTCATACCCATATCATTAACAGAACAGGGTCACTGGCAGATAATACCTGAGTTAGATGGTGGAAGGATGACCCTGAGTCAGTGATGGGCACATGTGGAAACATCTTTAATGGCTCATTTGGAACAAGCTTGATATAGTTTCCTTGCCGCAGAGGTTGGAAGATAGAAGCATCAGTATTAATTTATTCCCAAAGACTGTTCCATTTAAAACTCCATTTGCCCTGTATTCTGTGCCAGAGACCATTGGTATCGCTAGGAAGACCACTAGAGCCTTCAGCTGACTGTAGATCAGCCTCCCAAGTTTCTTAGATGTTTTTTCTGGAGGCTGAAGCCAGCTTCATACTAAATGTACAAAACACAGTACGTTTGTTACTGTCTTTTTATTTTATGCCCAATATAATACTCTATTCTGTATTCTCTGAAATGCAGCAATGTAATTCTCTTTTTCGCAGCAAGTGTGCAAATTAAGATATTTGAGAAATTTGTTTCAGTTTGTTTTTGACACCTCCTGGGCTCAAACACAGAGGAAGTCTGTACATTTCTGAACTTGTGATGAGATTCACAGAACAGAAACAAAAATGTGTTTGAAAAATGCCTGTGGGAAAATGCATACTTTTGAAAAATGCACACAAGCATGTTTTAACCAATGCAAGGGAAATGGATGCATTGTAAAATAAGAAATATAAATGGATGGATTGGGTGGGGGAGAGTGCTCGAAAGCTGTATGGTGTTTTGTGCAAGCCCCCTGCCCTCCAAAGATCAAAGTTTGCAATTTGATATGGACATGAGTTGGAATGAGCTCAGAGTACCTTGATAAACTTTATTTTATTTATACTTCTCTAGTGCAAATTGCACACACATTTTCTTCTGAAATGAACAGAGTTAGGACAAGGTATTCTATAGTCTGAATGAACTTTGTATCCCTCTTTTCAGAGACAAGATCCTGTATCCTTTAACTCAACATTTGAAGATATATCAAGGCATGTGCTCAGCATACGATATAGATTGCTGCCCTATCTCTACACATTGATGCACAATGCCCATGCTGATGGCAGCACAGTTGCACGTCCTTTGCTTCATGAGTAAGTGTTAAGTGGCAAAATCCTGTGAGGGATACTATAGAGTGATTTTAACTCCAGTTCTTGCATTTCAACCATTGCTACAAGTCCATAAAACCTAACCCACCACCCTCTTCCATTTTGGACATGTATTTGGAAGCCACAATGGAGCAATCGCTTTTGTTGGGCTGAGGTATCTGCAGTTAGATCTTCCTGGATACCTCTGCAAGACCTTTCTTTCTTCCTGATATAACTTGATATGCATCCTAGGTTCAAGAATTAATATGGAATGCATATCTCTGTATACTAAGGTGATGTATAGTGAGCAGTCATGCCAACCAACGAACCTACATTTCCTAGTGTGCCTGCTTGTTGAAAAGGACAACAAGCAGGCACACTAGTTTGAGGGAAATGGCCTTAAAAATGAATCAGAATGCAACTTCCCTTATGGAAGATCTGAGACAGGAAAAGAAAGTTTCCTTTAGTAATCTGAAAGGTGACTGATAGTCAGGTGGGCATGCTGTGGGCCACAATGGGTAATGCAGTGTGTAAAGTGGCCAGCCAGGCACTGGAATTGGATCCCTTTTCTCCAGCCTTCTCCTGCTGTCAACTTGCTGAAATGTGTGTCTAGTTTGCATGACCATCACTGGGTGGAAAAAGAAGAATTTCATAGAGATACTGGATAAATCCTTTGATTCTGCAACTGAATGGCAGGATGATAGTGTCTGGCAACATAGTTCCCCGTGCTTGGGAAAAAAATGAACAGTTGTTTAACATTCACATTGTAGATATATGCAAATTACTCTCTGTGTGTACGCACATGTATCTGACATGTGTTCAGGAATAAATTAAGAAATTCATTTTATCCTTCCTAGCTTTGAGCAAAGTTCATTCCTATCTGCTTTTTCTCCATTTAGGGCAATGAGGTTTAAATGTCACATAGAGCAGTGTTATAAGATCCACCTAGTGAGCATTCATAAAATGAATGGGGTTGACCTGACTGAGAACTGGGACTGGGACTCAATTCCCTTCAAAACCAAGCCAAACCAAACCATATCAGTGATACATCCCTCAAGATTTATTTGAACAAGCATATTAATTTGGGGCTTATGCACAGTGCTTTTTTTGTAAAAAAAAAAAAAAAAAAAGTGCCGGAACTCACCTCTTGGGGTCATACTTTTACACTAAAAAAGATTTTCAATTCACCAACTTTTTTTGAAATAAAGAACTTATTTACCTTTTGCACGTAGCCAGTCACTCTACACATACATAAACATAATGGTCGCCGCTGGCAGTAAGCACTCAGCGTGCAACCACACGACCGATCCCAAGCCGAGCAGCGTCCCAAGCCAAGCAGCGTCCCAAGCCGAGCAGCGCCCTCACAATCAGCGCTAACAATCAGCACCGACACACAAGCAGCCCGCAGGCACTATGTTAATGATTTTTGCCGCTGACCTGCTATGCCCAACAGGGTGATTAACAATCACTTGGAAAAATCCATCAAAAAACGGTGCCGGAACACTGTTCTGGTGTGTTCTATGACAAAAAAAAGCCCTGCTTATACATATTTCAGTCATATTATTTAAGTTAAAAAGTGAGTTGTGTTTTAGAGCAGGAGATACTGTATTGTTAGAGGCCTCACCATGTTCCATGTTTCTCAGGTTTGTGAATGACAGGACAACATGGGATATCTACAAGCAATTTTTATGGGGTCCAGCTCTTATGATCAGCCCAGTACTCGAACAAGTAAGCCACCAAATGTCTCTTGAGCTTAGAAACTGATTATCTATGAATGCTTTACTGAAATGCAGCCATCATGTTTTCTGCCTGTCTTCACCTTACCTTTATGTCATTAAATACTAGGGGGCTGTGATGGTGAAGGCTTATGTACCTGATGCACGGTGGTATGATTATCATACGGTAAGGAACTTAAGTCAATTTGTTAGAGTAACTTCAAGTCCAAAGACCTGCTTACACTTGGATGCAAATGTAAATGCCCTTATCAGATCCCCCATCGCTCAAGCCTAGGGTAGTTTTCTACAGGTCAGTTCAAGGGCACAGAAGCAACACAGTTCTATAAAGGTTAAGTACTTTTAGGGGCATGATTATGCATTCTGCCTCTAAACCATGCTTTCAACACTCAGTCACTGCTTGTCCTTTAAAAAGTGAAGCCAGGAGGGTTTAATTTCCAGTACAGAATTGGTGCCTGGAGGATAAGTCTGGGAAATATAGCAAGACTCAAAAACAATGAGGTTCTTTGAGCTCCACCTTGTAGCTTGGCTGGCATCTTTTCTGTTCCTGAATGTGAGCTTCTGTGGTGGTTTAACAGGAAAAGCACACATTTGGGGAGGCCTTTTTTAATACACCCAGGTACCTACATTTCTCTCATTGACTAATGCATGAACATACACTTCTTTTTTCCAGAATGTGGAAAGTGCACATCCCTCCCCGCCACCAAATCTATTTTGTGAATGAAAGCAAAAGCTCAGAGTCTTTCCTGGGAAAGAAAGAGTCTTTGCTGAAAAATGTGCTTACATTTGGGGAGAGTTCTGATTAAAAGCAAATGAAGTTGAAGATCTTCCACATTCCTAGCTAAAGAAGGCACTTATTTCTTCTTCCATGCCTACCACTAGACTGAGAAACCCATGTACTACAAGGGGAAAATTAAACTGATTTTTTCCCTGACATTTTCCCTCACTGACACACACACTTGAGGAAAGAGTTAAAAGAAAAAGAAAAGAATCGGCACGGGCATCAAGGAGATCCCATCTCTTTTTGTAATACTCTGAGAGTTGGCGAATTTCAGAGAAAAAACCAGTCAGAAGGAAGGTTTAATCTTCCTCTCCTGGTGTACAGTGGCAAGAATCCAACCACACACACTTCCTTAAACACAAATGCTAAACAATTAACACAACCTGGAGGTCAATCTTAAAAGGGCTCCAAACCGAAGAATTTGTTGAAAAACAAGCTTGCAGACTGAACTAAAGGAGGACTGTATTTATACAGTCCAGACTGTATTTATTAGGATTTTAAATTAGCCGAGAATGAACCGGGGGGTTTTAAATGGTTTTTTTCTTTTTTGTATTTTTTGTGAGCCGCCCCGAGTCTTTGTTGCGATGGAGGAGGCATAGAAATGTTGTAAATAAATAAACTACAGAAAGTCCTTGGAACAGAATTAGAAAGGAACACATAGAATTATACACCATCTTCTTGCTAACCACTTGTCAACCCAAAATCACCAGCCCCCACAGCTCTACTTAGCAGAGGAGAAGCAGAGGTCAGGCCTTGAAGATCTCCATCAAAGGAAACATGTTCTAGTGTTCCAATCCTTGGGAAGAACCAAAGTACTCAATTCTTAATTCTTCTATTGAAATCATTGTGACTTAAAAGCATTCAGCATTGGGTGGGTTGGAGACAGTTTGCCCAAGAGAATAAGCATTCTTGTTCACAATACAGTGAAAGACTAACCATGTACGTGCTAGTGTTTTGCACATTAAAAACATTTGTCTGTATCTTGATATATGTTGTTGTCACACATGTATTACAGTTTCTAGATTAAATGCAAGAAAGGTCTTACCTGGCTGTGAAATATGTGTGAAAGGAGAAATTTTAGGAGATGCAGCTTTTATCACTAGTACACTAGTGGAAATTGTGACTACAGTTTCAAATTTCTGCTAATATTCCTCTAGGGAAAAGACATAAAAGTGCGAAAACAATTCCAGGATTTTCAAGCACCTTTGGGTCATATAAATCTACATGTTCGGGGAGGTTACATCCTTCCCTGGCAGGTACCTGATATCACTACCAATGCCAGGTGAGTAACATTTTTCATAGAATTAAGTGGGTTTTTATGAAGACTGACTTTAGCTTAAGTCTTGTTTAGTCCTCCATGTACCATGGCCTATATATAGACGGGTTCTCCACTGATTACATTTTATTTATTTGCTACAAAGTCCCTCCATCTTTGGAAAAGAAAACAGCCCCTAGGACTGTTCCCTTGTATATGCTGTTTTAATGTGCAGAAGTTGTAATAATAGGGTTAAAAATTATTTCTAGAAGTAACCTTTACTTAGAATTTTGTTCTTATTTCTGTAATTGTCTGCAGCTGTATTTTAGTTCTTTGGTTCAATACATTAAATATTTGGAAGAGAAAATGGTTATCACTTCCCCCCATTAAATCCAAGATTTGGAATGTAGATCTCAAAGTCCTGGTCCTTGTCTTTGCCATCTGTATGTGCATTATCCAGCTTTTTGAAACAAATAGTAAATCAGTAGTGTTCATTCCAAAGCTTCTTCCCTATTTCAAGTTGCTTGGATGAAACGTCTTTGAGATGTTGATATTTCCCTTTTGATAATGGAAAAATGGATTGAAGCTGATCAGGATTTCCTAAGAAATGCTTTCTAAAATTGATTTCTCCCCTACCAGCCGGCTAAATCCCATGGGACTCACTGTTGCTTTGGATGATAATGGAAAAGCTCGAGGACAGCTTTACTGGGATGATGGAATTAGTATTGGTAAGTGTCTTGTTAGTAAAAAGGTCAAAACCTGGCTCCTAATTTATTGCTTATTAAATTCATGTCCCATCCTTCATTATATTTCAAGGTGTTATCCCATTTAATTTTCAGAGGGAAAAAAAAGACAGTGACCTAGTTCACATGATGCCAGATTTATATAGCTGGCTTCATTGGATACAGCTTTTTTAATGTCAGAAGCCACCATAGATGGGTGTTGGGGTAGTTAACAAACCACCCAAAAGCCATGACTTTTTGTAATCCATCCCAGCCACCCAGCCTCACCAGGTCTGAATGTTACAATAGGTTGTGCCAGCAAGGATAATTGTATAAACCTGGCTGGAATGCACGGTGCAGGTAACAACCCACCGTTGCTTATTACTCACCTGATATTGTGCAAACCAGACCTGTGTTCAGTCCCAAAACTCCCAGAGAGCTGTGCCTGATCAGAACCATCTAGTCCATATCCGCCAATCTGCTGTCCAAAACCTAGAGGGGGAAATCTATACTCTTGTGGTCTTAGTTCAAAAAAGAAAGACTGGGAATAACTGAGGCAATGAAAATGTTACAGGCAGATTTGCCCTGGTTCTGATATGATGTCCCTGATTTTGTAACTATGAAATAGAAAGCATGCATCCATTTAAAACTTCACACCCAACATATGCTGGGATGAGGGGGGGGGGGTTATTCCCAAATTAAAATGTTAAAAAAAAAAAAGGGATTGGATGGCATGGAATGGATTTGGAAGTGACAAAAGGAGATATCTGCAGAAATGGACTTGACAGGTCCATCTATCTTTAATCCTATATTTTCAGCTAAATTTTAGAATGCAATAATATGGAGATGCATCTGTTATCCAAAATGTGATTATTCAAACCATTTTCATTGAGTATCTATGTATATTTAGGTCAAACATACAAAAATAGTGTAAGCCCTCCCTGGATTATCGTCCTTGCATGTCTCATAGACACTTCATAGAAATGAGAGCCCGCTTTAGGATTGAGAACCTGTCTGTGTTGGATTAGGATCAGGAAGACCCACATTCAAATCCCTGCTCAGACATGTAGTTCTTTGGATAAATTTGTGCTAGTCACTGCTTCTATCCATTCAACAGGATTATAATGAAGGTAAAAAATTGTGGGCAGCCACATTTTTGTAAAGATTAAAATTGGCAGGCAACTTGTGCTGCTTTGAGAAAAAATAGACTGAAAATGTAATATATAAATACATAATGCAGTGGCTGTGCAGTTTGCATCAAGGAGTGTGTCCCAGATCTATCTCCTGGAAAATCTATGTGCTGTCTTTAAAATGCATATATTCCAGGGGTCCCCAAAATACCCACATTTTAGAAGCATACAAGCATGCAGCTCATGTGGTTCCATGTAATCCCGGAAGAAGACCAGCATGCAGGGATAATCCTTCAGATGCAACCAGCAACCAGACTCCAAGTCCATTTCCCTCTACAGTAGGAAACTGACCCTTGTGACTTCAGGGCTGAGTGGGAATAGGAAATCCTCTTGAGGAAGGGTGAAGTTTTTCTTATCCAAAACCTTCTCCTTCCAGTCCCTTAAAGAAGAAAAATTTTCCTGGGAAGCCACCTCCTCCACTGGAAATGTGGCATTGTGGAGCCACATCTTCCTGAGCAAGAAGGTGAAGGCAGGGCTGGGAGAAATTTTGAGGGTTGAGGGAAGGAAGTAAGCAAGGGGGAGGTTTGGTTGAACAGGCCAGGGAATTGCAGGAAAGGGGGACAGAAGTGTATGAACCTCTTCCCACATATGATCCTTTAACCCCGAGGGAACTCTGCTCGTTCATGACTTAGTAGATCAGTGTATGCTACATGTGTGTTTTGGAAAAAGATTAATGCAACCACCTTTCTTAACTTGGATAGCTTCAAAACTGAATTGGGCACATTCATGGAATATGGCCATCAGTGACTACTTTTCCTGATAGTTTTATGTGACCTCAAGTGTCAGAAGTAATATGCTTACATATACTAGTTACTAAGGGACATGGACAGAAGGTTGCTCCTGCACTCATGTTAAGTTTGTGGGTTTCCCTTGAGTAGCTAAGTATTATCCCTCTTGTGTATTGATCCCCTAAATGAAAATCAAGATTCAGTGCTGACTTCAGGGTCAAAATTGTACTCTCTGAACTGGGTGTTCATGACCACAGTTGACCAGCAGGGTAAAGGGTTTTCAGCTGTCTCCAAAGACAGGACCATATTTCTGGGAAGTGAATGAAGGCCATAGCAAGTCGGTGTGGGGGGTGCTTAAAGTTGGACACATGCCCTCAACTTTCTTATCCCTCTCTGCAATATTTTCTCCATTGTGCCATTTCCCCATCCCCTCCAAAGGAGAGAGAGAGATCACTAAATGCAGTGCAATATGTGTGTGTGTTTTTTCTTTTGTAGATGCATATGAAAATGGCGACTACTACTTTTCAACATTTCAAGTAGCTCAAGTATGTATACTTAACTTTCCCCTCAAATAATTTTAGATAAGATACAGCTGTAACTTTCCTGAGCCCACATACATGCTTCACATTCCATCTGTGTGACTTTCATCATAAAAACTGTTTCACACAGCATGTATATGTATCCTATGGAATATCTCAGCACCAAAGCACATAGGCCTGGATTCAAGGAACCTCAGAATACCTCCTTTCATGCAAAGGAGCTCTGGTTGTGCACTTCTGTCAGAGAGATCCCCTTTGGATTGGTAAATCCCTTTGGAAATAGATGGGAGTTTCCTAAATAGGAGTAGACATGAGACTTTACTGTTCAGTGCAAGGCGTGGCAAACATTTCACTGGTCATGCCAAAAGTAGCTCTTTGGATGATCTCAGCCACTGTCCTGAGTTGATATGCAAGACAAGGCTGCGATGCTTGATTTGTTTCACACATCGGTGGCCATTTAATAAGCAGCCATTCATTGATAAACCAACATCTATAAACTTATCCATGAATCATTGTTTGCTTTAGAGAGACCTGATATACTCTGTGCCATGTATACAAAGTCTTCTGCTACATTATTGTTAAAAGCAAATACTCTTTGGTTCATTTTCCAGAATACATTGGATGTCTCTGTGATTCACAATAAGTTTTTAACTGACTCAGTTGTCTTGAGAATTGGATATCTGCACATATGGGGAGTCACGGCCTCAGTTACAAATGTTGCTATTACTTATGATGGAAAAACAGAAACAGCAATTCCTCAATATTATCCTGCTAGCCAGGTAGGTCAAATACTAGTATCCAGGGATTTTTTTGTCATAGAATGCACTGGAACGGTGTTCCGGCATCTTTTTTTGATGGATTTTTCCAAGTGATTGTGAATCGCCCTGTTGGGTGTAGCAGGTCGGCGGCAAAAATCATTAACATAGTGCCTGCGGGCTGCATGTGTGTCCGCGCTGATTGTGAGGGAACTGTTCGGCTTGGGACACTGCTCGGCTTGGGATTGGTCGTATGGCCGCGCGCTGAGTGCTTACTGCCAGCCGCGAGCATTATGTTTATGTGTGTGTAGAGTGACTGGCTACGTGCAAAAGGTAAATAAGTTCTTTATTTCAAAAAAAGTTGGTGAATTGAAAATCTTTTTTAGTGTAAAAGTGTGACCCCAAGAGGTGAGTTCCAGCACTTTTTTTTTTTTTTTTACAAAAAAAGCACTGCTAGTATCATTAATGGTGCAAACATATTTTTCCACATTACTGAAATGTCTAGAATGCTGAATGAATATGTTACTCCATTTTCTTACTCTGGTTAGAGATCATCTAAATCTAAGTGAAAAATAATATTATTAGTAATAATACTAATATTAGTTGCAAATGGAGCCACTGTGCTTAAGAAGTATGTGAATCTTCTACATAGTAATGGAGACATGGTTAGTAAATGTCAAGGTATGCACCTGAAAAGGACTGCTGGACTGATATTTACATCCTATAAAAATGTCAAAAATAGAAAAATCTTTTTCTATGTCTTCTTTTTCATTTCACTTTTCAAAAAAACCCTCCTTTGGCAAGTCCCCTGCCCCATGTTATCCTCACTCCTGATTTATCATAGTAGTGTTTAAGCAGATAAATGCAAAGAACAACTGGAAGAAAGAGCTGAAAGGCCTTTGAACACCAAAGCATTTCTGCAGCTGTTTCTGTTTCTGCAAACATTAGTAGCCCTTGTGTTTACTCATTAGTAGTGTTCTGAACCAGCAAAGGATGGACATTTTAGGAGAGGAATGCTCCAGCCCTGCCCCTCTGTGTTTGCTACTCCCAGTGCATGAAGGAAGATGGTCTGAAGAACAGAGAGGCCTTTATCTGTGGATGTTTTCCATCTGATTGAGAACATGGGAACATCTTCATTTTGGCTTGCATGAAGAGCCTCCACAGATACAGATCCCTTGGACAGTGACCTTCTACAAGACGAGAGCAACAAGCACAATGAAAGAGATAGGTGGGGACTGTTCTGTTTGCAGTCAGAGCAGCCAATTGGGGCTTCTGTCAAACAGAGATATATGAAAATTGCATAGCAGTTTGTTTTTCACCAACATTTGACCAATTTGTAACTCCCAGTGCCAGACATGGGCCCAAACTCAGCCTGTGGTTGAAGTCTGTGCCTTTACAAACTTGTGTTTTGATTAAAGTAACCAAAAATGGCATTTGAAAAAGTACAGGCATTTTTAGAAATGAAAACAGGAATAAGCACACATGTGCATGCTTTAAACAATGGCAGGAACAGGGGATGTAGGCATTCCAAAAAGGCTCACAGTCACGTATACATTTGGAAAAATGCATACGAATTCATGTACATTTTCATGCGATGATGATGATGCTCACAGATGAGTACAGACACGGGTCAAAACAAGCTTTATGTTAGAAATGTGTTGTAAGTTCTATGAGCTGAAATTGCTGAGTTATGCATGTGTGTGGGTGGGCTGGGGATGATCATGCATTGAAGCCAACTGCAGGAGCATGTTGCACATGTGTAGTGTACGGCCATGCTCAGATTCTTATGCACTGTTGGACTCTGGAGCCCCTCAACCTGGCCTTTTAGAGTATTTAGGGGACACCATTGGGATTCCATGGTGATAGATGGTCCAATGATGACTGAATGAGGGCCACTCTATATGCTCTTCAAAGCAGGCATAAAAGAGATATGGTTAAGGGGCTCAGTTAACTCATGGTCAATGCATGTGACCCCAGTGTAGGTTGGGGCCATGGTACTCTGGTAGGTGAGGGATTTAAGTCTTCTCCTTCCCTTTTCCTTCTTAAAATCCCATGCATCCTGGGAGAAAGGACTTAAAAAGGGGGTGGGGATGCTCACATTAATTCCAATGCACTGTTTTGATACATGTGAACATGTGTGTGTGTGTGTGTAGCTGGGTGAATGTTGAGAAGAACATGGAATTTGCAGCATATGTCATTTGGCCCCAAGAGTCTCCACTGTGGCAATATTGTACCTTCCCACTTCTTCAGCTTCATGAATAGAAAACCTTTTCTCATCTCCAGCTGCAGAATAATTTCTGTCTTCTGTCAACTCTAATGCAAAAAGTTGGTTACACTCAGAGTATAGGTAGCCAACCATAAAATTCCAAAGACAGTAAATGTATGGAAATTCTGCATGTATGCCTTATTGTACTAATTTTATTTTGTGCTTTGGTTCCTTTACTTTCGTATTCTGCATATTTCAGTATGAATGGACAAATTCCTAGTCAATTTTTATTTTATTGTATTTTACCTTAATATTTATATACTGCCCCATTCCCATAGCCTCTGAAAACATATTAGCTATTTGTGTAAGGCAGTGGTGTTTGCCTCCTTCCTCTCATAAAATGCATCTCTCTTTGAGCTAATCTTTCCCAGCTCTTCCTTTTCTCATTTTTGCTGTCAGCCATTTTCCTTCTTTTACTGACCTCTGCTGCTATCAGTTTGGAGAAAATGCTTTTAAGAAAATCAGTTTGGAGAAAATGCTTTTAAGTTTCTACTTTCTTCATAATTTTTTTCTCTCCACTAGATTTAGAAAGCTAAAATATTTTCATGCCACATCTCCATGCAGTAATTTAAAAGGTATCTTATCTTCACTGGCCTCTCCTTTTTATAACAAGAGAAGTTTTAAAATGAAATTGAGATATCCCTTTATATGATAGCTAAATCTCTTTCTTTCAACATTGCACATTTGAAGCTTGAAGGGGAGAGGGAACCCTAAATTCTGACTTTGAAAACTTTTCCAGAAGTCTGTTTCTGAGAGTTTTAATTATAACTAAACATTTATTTAGGTTACAATGTCCTATCTTCAACTTGAATAGAACCATTTCTTTTCTTGTGTTTAACCTTTGATCATCTGCCTACCTTTGAATTTATGGATGACTATCATTTCCTTGTTATCCTTGGCTGATTTCTGCCTTCATTTTTGCATAACGTTATCTTTTAATACACAATAGAATTCTCTCCAAATCAAACAGGATGGCTTCACTTGCTTTGGAACTTCTTTTCTAATGTAATGCAGTATTCTGCTGTCAAGCTTTCAAGTTTCCCATGGAAATTATCTTATTTTGGGGGTGACATCGATTTTGAGCTAAGCTATGATTTTCCCTATTTAGCTCTATGCAATAATAAAAATCCAGGCCTTTTCTGTGTTGCTAACCTATCATAGAATGAATGGTTATTTGAAAGCCAATCTCCTACAGAGGTGAAGTAAAATTACAATCATGTTCCCCCTAAAGTTGAATCTCTTGGAGAATGTGGCAATTCTTTGAATAGGTAAAACATCTGAGGAATTAAGAGGGAAATGAAATACATTTCTCAATTAGATTAATGAAATTTCTCAGTGCAGTTTCATAGATGAAGGTGAATGATTTATATGATCTGAAGAGAAACATAAAATTTATAGGAGTGCATAGCATATATGTATTCATTGTAATAAATTCAATCAGATTCTGTGAATGAAAACTGTAACTATTTTATTTGATTTCTATTTTTTTAATTTGGTTTTTGGCTGTTTTGATTTTTAAAAATCACAATAAAACTTAGTTGAAAAGGCAGTTACACACCCCTACCCTCAGTAATAATCAGAATCAGAATAGCAGGTTTTGCTATGAAATGGATCTTTTTTCCCCAGCACCAGATGTCATATTGGAGTTACAAGAGAGTCCTCTAAGTAGTAAGCAATGACAAGTCCTCCAAGTAGTGTCTTCCAAGTAGTGTGTAAAATCAATCAAACATGGGACAATGCCTGACTTGACAGCCTGTGCAGCAAAGTAGTTAGGACCATGAAGAACTTCAGCCATGCAGTTAACTGGGTGACTTTGGGCCAGGCAGTGACTCAGATTAACCAATCTCATGGAATTTTTGTGAAGATGGAGGAGGAGAAACATATCGGTTTCCTGCAAGAGGTACCACAGGCAGCCTATGACCCACATGTGCCCCACTGAACTAAGTGGAACCATGGTTCGATTCTGCAGAGGGGAGCAGCATAAGCTCCTCATGAAGCATTCCATTCATGAAGCATTGAAATTCCCAGTGTGTTCTCAGAAGTCAGCAAAAACGGATCTATATTTTCTTTATGTAGACTCATAGCCCAGCTTACAAAATGCTCAGACTTTGTAAATGTAAATGTGCAAAGAACAGATGGGTAGCTTCCTTATTCCTTCAAAGAGCCCTAAGAAAGTGAAAGATGGGACATCCAGTATTCAGAAGGGGAACTTGGCCTCTTCTCCCGCTGCAGAACCCACTGGAAAACAACTCTTGGTTAGGACGAGTGTCTTGGGGAAAAAAAAAGAAAAAAGAGGCTCCTGTCCCACAAAAACAGAGGCAGGTCCACTGCTTAATTTGAGTCAAAATCCAATAATATCCATGTTGGCACTTGCTGGGACGTGAATCAGACTCAGGCCTGGGACGTGAATCAGACTCATGGTTTGATAGCATCCAGGGAAGGGGCCACCATCCGGTGGCTGTGGGTACATGCAGTCCCCAACACCCTCTGCCTCACCCCTGCATGGGTCAAAACATCTGACCTGTTTGGTGCTCTGTAGTGCTAATGGGGCCATTAAAAACATGATTATATGTGGGAGAGCTTGTGGAGCACTTCCTATGAAAGTATGGGGAAATGCCCTTAGGCTGCCAGCCATGTACTAGTGGGAGTTTGGGCCTGGAGACAGGCTAGGAAGGAGTGTGCCTTTATATAGTACTACTGCTATAGCTTACTACTACTACTGCATTGCCTTTATATGTTCCTCCTTTTGTGGGGAACGCAAGGCAGTTTCCATAGCTCCATTTTATGCGCACAATATTCCTTCCGAGTAGTTTGGGTTAGAGTTTGTGACTGACTGAAACATACCCAGTGAGCTTCATGGGTGAATGGGGATTAGAACCCCGATTCCCCAGGTGCCCAGATCCACTCTCTAACCAACACACCACACTGGCCAACTAGTACAAAGCTAGCCATTTCCAGCAGGCATGAGGTCTGGTATCTCTCATAGAAAGTAGACACAGGTGGACACAAATGAATCATAAAACTTGAGTGAACTCATTGATGATTGGCCTTAGAGGTCACATTTCTCATACACACCTGTCAAGATGGGATAAAAGCTAACCTTTGGTAAAAGTGTCCCATAATAATGGATCCTGGTGGACCAGAAGTTAGCCTTTCATTGATCTATCTGCAACCCCACCTACAAATAATCCTCTCTCTTTCTTCTCCCTTCTCTCTCCCCCAATCCTCTTCCATGCAGATACTACAAGTGAATCTCACTGGAAATAATTACCTAATCCATAAATTAAACCAAGTCAAATGGGTGACAACCACTTAAATGTCTGTGAGATACAAGCTATATGAAGACCTCCTCATAGCTAATTAGTATATCATTTTCAACTATATTTTGTTCAGATATGGTACCAGCAGACAAATGAAGAAATGGATATAACTTAACTGTAGGTAATTTATTTGTCAGAATGCATAGTAATTTCTGATAAAAAACTACTTATTTTGTTGAATATGACAATCCTGGAATTCTGCTTTTTCCTTTAAATGAAAAGGGGTGTTTATTTCATTGAAGTACAGAGAAGAATAATGATTTTGTAAAATAGCCAGTAGAATGTATTTAAAATATTAATTATACCAGAGCAATCTGTATGACAGGAATCAGGATTTTTTTTTTCTCTGTTTTGCAGAGGAATTAAAATGTCAGTATAATGGCTAAGTGCCGAGCATGATGGACTATATAATTGCTCTTCATCATGGTGTTTATAAATCTCTGTGCAGGAATGTGCATAAAATACAACAGAGTGCTATTTTTTGTAATTTATACTAATAGGACAATAAAACATCACCAGTAGTGCATAGTTGTAAGCTGACATTCTATATGTGTGTGCTCATGTGCTTCCATGTCTGTTGGTGTGGGCCATGTGTCTTTGTGTGTGGTGCACATATGTGATGTCATCAAGGCTCATATGTTCAGGCTCAGAAAGATGAGTTTCAGACATTCATAAAGCTCACCTCACACATAACCTCTGATTCTTCCCCAGTTCAGACTGTAATCTGAGCCACTGCTGAATTCTCTCTCCTGCAATCCCCACCCACTCTCCTACCCCTCCAACCTTCTCCAAATATGCACATCTTTCAACCAGATCTGAGACAGAGTCCAGAAGATCACTCATGGTTTATATATAGCAAATACATTTGCTAGCAGTTTACTAGCAAATATATTTGCTAAGTGGAGATGCTTGGCTCTGAGAGGACTTCAGCTGGAGCATCTGCACTGCAATGTCACCTTCCAGGTGGCCTGGCCTTTAGCTTTCGCAGGAAGCAGCAATTGATTACAATCCCCAATCCCTCTCCCACCGATTCAGTCTTCCTCAAGC